TATAAACAGGCACTGTGGTTTGTTTGTGGTTCTTACTGCTGAGCTACAATCATTATAGGTATGATCAGTTGTACAAAAAAAAAATAGTTTTTATCGCCTGAAATGACGAAAAGGAAAAAGGACAAGGACATCCCTCTGTTGGAGGGGCAAAGGAGCCTGGTGGGATTATTTTCGGAGTATTGAAGATCGTTTCCCCGACATCGGCCTCTTTTCAGCTTTTCGTATCTTGGACCCACGGGGCCTGCCACAGGACAACACGGAACATGTGCGATTTGGACGCGATGAGCGGTGGAGCACGTGCGTGAACTGCGAGCGCCGGAGCCTCGCAGTGGCGAAACTGAGGCTCCGTGGTAAACTGTGGTAAAAAGAGCCGGCTCTTCTTCTTAGTAAGCTGAGCCAAATGATCCGGCTCACTAAAAAGAGCCGTAATTCCCATCACTAACGTAAAGATATATTATCTATAAGGGACGGCTCAATTCAAAATTCAAGTCACGTGATACAACGTGGACGCCCTCTCAGCCCTGGTCTGGCGGAAACACTGCCTCAGAGATATTTTGTTAAAAAGAACTCAATGGTGCTCTAGGAGGAGATTCAGGTGATAAGGGGGGGGGGGTTACCTTGGTTGGTGATGGTTACACAAGCCAAAAAATCGTTATGACATCATAAAGTTCCCAAAATCTGATCAGCTCATCTTCAGACAGGTTTGTGTGTGTCTGTGTTTGTATTTTGGCCTGCAGTGTGGGTGTGTTTTTCCTCTGTATCCACTTTAGCAGGACTTGTTCTTTAACAAACAGCTAGGTAACTTCAGTAACCACATTTTGTTCTCCAGCGCACTCTTGGAGTCGGGTGGCCTGATAATTTATTCCGGCAAATTACCCAGACCTACTAATTGACCTAACAGAAGTTATTGAGTCTATGTAAGTTTACTGCTTGGCTCAGATCCACCAACGTCAGCAAGATCTCACCTCTATTAACTGGAGAACCCGGTTAAATTAACTGCTGTTTCAATTCAGACGACCCGCTAAATCTGTTTAAGCGATCCCGTAGGATTTTGATATCAGTAATGAGGTGTGGCCCTACCTAAGTGTGAATGTGGCAGTGTGCAATCTTACCTTTTTAAGCAGGAGAGGAGAGCGCAGATGTCTTTTAAGTTGTCCCATTCCAAAAGGTGGGATCAGTTTATTTGAAGAAAAATTGGTCCACACTTATGCAGGGTTTCTACCTTCTCTCGTTACAACATGACAATCCTACAAAACATATCATGCTGTGGTCATGTTCTAATATGAAACCTCAATTCACAGTTTTACATTTATTACACTAAATTGTAACTTCAACTGCCCAATTCAGTTGTGACATTTAAAATCGTCCGACAGAATTTAGAGGCATCTCCTCATAAATGACCGGTGATAATAAAAAGCACATTCAAACTTTCATTCAACAAATCAATTCATATACACATCTAGTCCCGCATGAATTCGGAGGACCTTTCCTCACAGGTGGCAGGGTGCTAAACTTTCAACACACATCAATTCATTCCGCATTCAACAAAGAAATTCAAGCGATATTTACCAAGTTTGAGAGAACCTTACCGAGGCAAAAACCCAGCTCTCCGGGGAGAGAGCTTTACCAGGAGAGAGCATACCAGGGGAACCCCCCCCCCCCCCTCTCTCGAGTTAGCTCCCTCTCTGCTAGTGTTCTTATGCTCGAAACAGGACAGAAAAACCTAAAGACACCTCCTCCATACCCATATTTGTGGAAACTGGGCATGGCCTCTAGTGTGCAGGACTGGACATGACCAGACATATTCTATGGCTATGGCACAAACACCTTTTTGGGGCCTTAGTATTTCTCCAAAAAGTCAGGGGCCCCCCTCCCTGTGTACTGCTGTGAGGGAAGAGGGAAGAAACTGTCTCTCCTCTCTTATCAGTGACACCCATAAACCATAATAGGCCTTACACCAGGGCTCATTTCACCTAAATGAAATCAAATTAAATGATGTTGATGGTTAAATTAGCTTCACATGTAGGCCTACTGAGTTCTGAACTTGCCATTTAGATCTATAAAGGCCTTGGGGCTATGTTGTTTGATTGAATTAAACACAATATATGCACTCCACTATGCTGTTGTAGTATTAACTGTATCTGAAGCTCTTAATATGATTGCTCATATTTCAAGCCATCTTTTTCCCGGCCCCTTGCTTTGGATCATTTTCATTGAATAGCCCTGCCTTACACACTCAATTTAACAAACCACTTGTGTTTTGTTTATACTGTAAATATAGAAAATCATAAAATATGAAGCATTTTCATTTTGGGTTATACAAGAATATAATTGATATAATCGTTTTAAGTAATCAACCTAATATGGAGACCTCAACAGCACATTCAGAGCAAGATCAGGCTTCAAATGCCCGGAACACACACACACACACACATTCAGATCGTACAATAAGAAATGGTGGCCAAGAATCAGTGCTCACTGTACACTGTTCTCTGTAGCTCCTCCCTGATTGCTGAGAGAGAGAGAGAGAGAGAGAGAGGAGAGAGAGAGAGAGAGAGAGAGAGAGAGAGAGAGAGAGAGAGAGAGAGAGAGAGAGAGAGAGAGAATATTGTGCATTCTGGGAACAAGTTGTTGTTGGTAGTATAGGAATCACCAAACTATACAGTATGATCACCATATTTTGTATTTAAGTCACGATATGATGATATTATGATTTTCAACATTTTGTTCTATTTACTAATTTATTTGAATCCTAAACGGACAAAAGGTACCAAAAAGTTAATTTAAACATGTCATATTAGCAGGTTTCTCATTTCTTACTAGACACTGTTAATTTTGAGGGCCACGTCTACTGAACGTATGACGATGTGAAACATGGTGATGGATACTACCGTTGTTAAGGAGGGCAGGGCTACTTCAAAATTGATTTAATAATAAATATTCAGGCATTTGCTCTCTTTGAGCTCTCGCTGCACCTCTGTACAGATTCATCGCTCTCCTCACCTCTTTTAAATCATGTTGGTCTCAGTGGTCGATGACATCACAGATGGATGTTGTGATCCTTCATTGGTCCGACCCTCAGTTAATGAAATGAAAAAAGCTCCTCACTTATCTCAGGTCATAGTACCAGAAGTAGCAGCAACAGTAGTAGCTGTAGGAGTAGTGGTAATGAAGTGTTTACAACTGTAGTAGAATAACTATTAGTCGTGAATTACAGTGCAGTAATAGTAAGTATACTGTAGTACAGTGCAGAACTACTAACACCCCTCTTAATTCTATATTATTGTCTAAAGTTATGAAATGATTAACTAAACCCAGTTGCAGTGAGGCCACCATTAAAACAAAGTATATTGGATCATGTGAAAACCTTTTATAATGTGACAAAGCCAGGGTTATACAATTCTGAAATGCCGCGAGGCTCCTGTGAACTGTGATTTTAGAAATGGCTTTGCTTGACTTTAATGTGGGTTTATCTCCTGTCATCACATACCTTTGAATTGAGGTATCAAGATATGCTGCAGGCATGACAGGCCTCAGAATGCACACATGACATGTTATATGTCTATTTGTGGTGTGGCCTATATTCAGAGGAGTATCTAAACTATAAAACTGTCGAAATGAAAGGTGGCCATTGTCGTGTATACAAAGAATAGAAGTTTGTAGCGGCAGAAGTTTTTCAATATCAAACTTCACTTTACTAAGGTCAATCTGTCTTTTTTTGGGGCCTCGATTTGTTATATTTCCATACTATTCTTTGTATTATCTTTTGATTCCATGATTAAACATATCAAACTATATTATGTCAGTGCTACAATGCTGGTTTCGCATCATATTCTATTTAATAATCAATATATTCTTGTTCTTTTTGTTCATATTTGCTGTTGTACAGCTTGTATTTTTTCCTCTTTGAGTTCTTATACGTTTACACTCCTGTCTGCTCTCTGTTTGTAATCTGATGTGATTGCAACTCCACCCACCCTCAGTGTTTGTATGTTCGTGTGTGTGCGTGCGTGTGTGTTTTCGCGAATGAAAGAGAAATTAAAGCCTGTTTTTGTCCGCTCAGCACATGTTTTGATACAGACCGAGGCAGAGCAGGGCAGACCCCCCCGATGAAGAGAGAGGGAAGAAAAGACAGTGAGGTGGGGGGGAGGGGAGGATCTGGGCAGCCTCCCAGTGAAATAAATAACATTCTGTTCTCTTCGGTTTGGGACATTTTACTTATGTTTGCCCTCAGCTCAGTTCCCACGTTAGAAAGAAACATGGAGGAGTGTTTACAGAGCTCTACTCTCCCCGTCATATCAAGAGGGAGGTCTAACAGTTTAAAAACATCCTAGATATATTTACCGGGGGGTAAGGGCTCTGCTCTGGTAGATTTAAAGGCTCCAGTATAGAATATGTTAGAGTTGAAATGATAAGCAGGATCGTATTGATCACAGTGTGTGGTGTATGTATTGATCCTGAAGCCTCCTTTACCCCCCCCCCCCCAATATCTCAAACAGAAGCTCATTTTAGAGGGTGTAGGCTGTAGGGGATCTTTAGGCGGGGGGGATAGATGGTCATCAATAAATGCCCCATGGAAATGTATGATTTAGAAGCTTAGAACATTGTTTAAACAGTTATAATGGCTATTCCCATTCTAAGTTATGTCTTCTAAGACGTTGCAGCAATATTTGGCTTTTTGACAACTCAAGTCAATAACAGAAGTCAATAAACTCTCCAAAATACCACACTAAGACCTTGAGGGAACCATAAAACAGTCCAGGCTGTGATTTGGATTGAAAACACTTCAGTGGCAGTAAAGTTTGAACAGGCTGGAATCGTCACAGAGCTCGTTTTACAGCCGGGTTCACTTTCAAAGGATGCTCTCACCACAGTGAGATGGCTTCTATGGGGACTTACATCATCACACATGAATAGTGTTGGGCTCATCAAAACCAGTGGAGGCTTAGTCCAGTTTATGCCATTTCAAAATGGCATAGTAATCAAAAAACATTCTTAGAATGGGTGAGGAAACAAGTTTATACTGCATGTCTATGGCCACTGAAAGACAGTAAAAAATCCAACATTTACAAATAAAATCTGCAGAACTGAGAGATGTACCCCCTGACTGTGTGTTACCCCGTACAGCTCACTGTCGCTCTTTTCAATCAAAGAGGCTCGATTCTGCTAACCAATCAGAGCAGACTGGGCTCTGGTTTCAGAGGGTGAAAAGAGGTGCTGCAGCACAAGCAGTATGAGAAAAATAAAGAGCTTTTTGAACATTAAAGCATGGAGACATGTAGAGACACTACATACTGATATACACCTGAACATCAGCAGGAGAGGACTCTTTAAAGTAGAGACACTACATACTGATATACACCTGAACATCAGCAGGAGAGGACTCTTTAAAGTAGAGACACTACATACTGATATACACCTGAACATCAGCAGGAGAGGACTCTTTAAAGTAGAGACACTACATACTGATATAAACCTGAACATCAGCAGGAGAGGACTCTTTAAAGTAGAGACACTACATACTGATATACACCTGAACATCAGCAGGAGAGGACTCTTTAAAGTAGAGACACTACATACTGATATACACCTGAACATCAGCAGGAGAGGACTCTTTAAAGTAGAGACACTACATACTGATATACACCTGAACATCAGCAGGAGAGGACTCTTTAAAGTAGAGACACTACATACTGATATACACCTGAACATCAGCAGGAGAGGACTCTTTAAAGTAGAGACACTACATACTGATATACACCTGAACATCAGCAGGAGAGGACTCTTTAAAATAGAGACACTACATACTGATATACACCTGAACATCAGCAGGAGAGGACTCTTTAAAGCAGAGACACTACATACTGATATACACCTGAACATCAGCAGGAGAGGACTCTTTAAAGTAGAGACACTACATACTGATATACACCTGAACATCAACAGGAGAGGACTCTTTAAAGTAGAGACACTACATACTGATATACACCTGAACATCAGCAGGAGAGGACTCTTTAAAGTAGAGACACTACATACTGATATACACCTGAACATCAGCAGGAGAGGACTCTTTAAAGTAGAGACACTACATACTGATATACATCTGAACATCAGCAGGAGAGGACTCTTTAAAGTAGAGACACTACATACTGATATACACCTGAACATCAGCAGGAGAGGAGTCTTTAAAGTAGAGACACTACATACTGATATACACCTGAACATCAGCAGGAGAGGACTCTTTAAAGTAGAGACACTACATACTGATATACACCTGAACATCAGCAGGAGAGGACTCTTTAAAGTAGAGACACTACATACTGATATACACCTGAACATCAGCAGGAGAGGACTCTTTAAAGTAGAGACACTACATACTGATATACACCTGAACATCAGCAGGAGAGGACTCTTTAAAGTAGAGACACTACATACTGATATACACCTGAACATCAGCAGGAGAGGACTCTTTAAAATAGAGACACTACATACTGATATACACCTGAACATCAGCAGGAGAGGACTCTTTAAAGCAGAGACACTACATACTGATATACACCTGAACATCAGCAGGAGAGGACTCTTTAAAGTAGAGACACTACATACTGATATACACCTGAACATCAACAGGAGAGGACTCTTTAAAGTAGAGACACTACATACTGATATACACCTGAACATCAGCAGGAGAGGACTCTTTAAAGTAGAGACACTACATACTGATATACACCTGAACATCAGCAGGAGAGGACTCTTTAAAGTAGAGACACTACATACTGATATACACCTGAACATCAGCAGGAGAGGACTCTTTAAAGTAGAGACACTACATACTGATATACACCTGAACATCAGCAGGAGAGGACTCTTTAAAGTAGAGACACTACATACTGATATACACCTGAACATCAGCAGGAGAGGACTCTTTAAAGTAGAGACACTACATACTGATATACACCTGAACATCAGCAGGAGAGGACTCTTTAAAGTAGAGACACTACATACTGATATACACCTGAACATCAGCAGGAGAGGACTCTTTAAAGTAGAGACACTACATACTGATATACACTCTGAACATCAGCAGGAGAGGACTCTTTAAAGTAGAGACACTACATACTGATATACACCTGAACATCAGCAGGAGAGGACTCTTTAAAGTAGAGACACTACATACTGATATACACCTGAACATCAGCAGGAGAGGACTCTTTAAAGTAGAGACACTACATACTGATATACACCTGAACATCAGCAGGAGAGGACTCTTTAAAGTAGAGACACTACATACTGATATACACCTGAACATCAGCAGGAGAGGACTCTTTAAAGTAGAGACACTACATACTGATATACACCTGAACATCAGCAGGAGAGGACTCTTTAAAATAGAGACACTACATACTGATATACACCTGAACATCAGCAGGAGAGGACTCTTTAAAGCAGAGACACTACATACTGATATACACCTGAACATCAGCAGGAGAGGACTCTTTAAAGTAGAGACACTACATACTGATATACACCTGAACATCAACAGGAGAGGACTCTTTAAAGTAGAGACACTACATACTGATATACACTTGAACATCAGCAGGAGAGGACTCTTTAAAGTAGAGACACTACATACTGATATACACCTGAACATCAGCAGGAGAGGACTCTTTAAAGTAGAGACACTACATACTGATATACATCTGAACATCAGCAGGAGAGGACTCTTTAAAGTAGAGACACTACATACTGATATACACCTGAACATCAGCAGGAGAGGACTCTTTAAAGTAGAGACACTACATACTGATATACACCTGAACATCAGCAGGAGAGGACTCTTTGAAGTAGAGACACTACATACTGATATACACCTGAACATCAGCAGGAGAGGACTCTTTAAAGTAGAGACACTACATACTGATATACACCTGAACATCAGCAGGAGAGGACTCTTTAAAGTAGAGACACTACATACTGATATACACCTGAACATCAGCAGGAGAGGACTCTTTAAAGTAGAGACACTACATACTGATATACACCTGAACATCAGCAGGAGAGGACTCTTTAAAATAGAGACACTACATACTGATATACACCTGAACATCAGCAGGAGAGGACTCTTTAAAGCAGAGACACTACATACTGATATACACCTGAACATCAGCAGGAGAGGACTCTTTAAAGTAGAGACACTACATACTGATATACACCTGAACATCAACAGGAGAGGACTCTTTAAAGTAGAGACACTACATACTGATATACACCTGAACATCAGCAGGAGAGGACTCTTTAAAGTAGAGACACTACATACTGATATACACCTGAACATCAGCAGGAGAGGACTCTTTAAAGTAGAGACACTACATACTGATATACATCTGAACATCAGCAGGAGAGGACTCTTTAAAGTAGAGACACTACATACTGATATACACCTGAACATCAGCAGGAGAGGACTCTTTAAAGTAGAGACACTACATACTGATATACACCTGAACATCAGCAGGAGAGGACTCTTTAAAGTAGAGACACTACATACTGATATACACCTGAACATCAGCAGGAGAGGACTCTTTAAAGTAGAGACACTACATACTGACATACACCTGAACATCAGCAGGAGAGGACTCTTTAAAGTAGAGACACTACATACTGATATACACCTGAACATCAGCAGGAGAGGACTCTTTAAAGTAGAGACACTACATACTGATATACACCTGAACATCAGCAGGAGAGGACTCTTTAAAGTAGAGACACTACATACTGATATACACCTGAACATCAGCAGGAGAGGACTCTTTAAAGTAGAGACACTACATACTGATATACACCTGAACATCAGCAGGAGAGGACTCTTTAAAGTAGAGACACTACATACTGATATACACCTGAACATCAGCAGGAGAGGACTCTTTAAAGTAGAGACACTACATACTGATATACACCTGAACATCAGCAGGAGAGGACTCTTTAAAGTAGAGACATTACATACTGATATACACCTGAACATCAGCAGGAGAGGACTCTTTAAAGTAGAGACACTACATACTGATATACACCTGAACATCAGCAGGAGAGGACTCTTTAAAGTAGAGACACTACATACTGATATACACCTGAACATCAGCAGGAGAGGACTCTTTAAAGCAGAGACACTACATACTGATATACACCTGAACATCAGCAGGAGAGGACTCTTTAAAGCAGAGACACTACATACTGATATACACCTGACCAGAACGTTGCGTATTCTCAGCATTCGTAAAGAAATTACATTTTTGTTTAGTAATGATAAGAATACAGTTTATAATACAGGATGTTTGTACTGTCAGTTGGCACAAACTGATGTTGTTAATGTCACGTGACATTCTGTGCAGACTGTCGTCTGGGTACAAGGCCTGCTGCTTGGCTTGCCTTGTGATGACTTAACCTTTCATCTAGAACCGCTAGCAGGCCAACAATAGGTTTGTTTTTGTTGTGTGCACCGTAGAGGCATGCGAGAAAACAGCATTTCTTAATTTAAGAAGAAGCTCTCTGAGACTTTGCATGTTCAATATTAGGGGTTTTATTCATTTGTATTAATCTGGCAAAAAACATGAAAAATGCATTAGGATTTGGAATTGTGGTTCATACCTGAAATAGGATTCACTGGAGGACCAAAATAAATGTTAGCTTAACATTTTTAACATTGTTTTTAATATGCTTTAGTTACAGAAAAAATAAACAACAAGGAAGGTGTTAGAACATTGTTGTCAATGGCAATCCAACCAGCAGTGAAAATATGAACCATGGCTGTTCTGTCCTAAAGATACAGCAGGTAGGAGAGAGGAGTCTGAAGAGGAGGAGGAAGAGGAGGAAGATCAGATGGATGCTTTCTATCCTCAGGCTCTCGGGGGCTTCATCATGGTGATGACGGAGGAGGGAGAGCTGATCTACCTGACGGAGAGCGTCAGCAGACACATCGGCCTCACGCAGGTACACCAGCACCTGCAGCAACAACTACAACAAAAAAGAGAGAATAAAATCACATTCCCTTCAGCTGCTCTGTGTCACTCTCTACTGATGAGTCAGCATCCACCTTTCTCGCTCATTTACAGCAGCAACAGTCAATGTGAGGAATCACCACTTTAGCAACAAAGAAAGACTCTTTAAAGTCCTCGCTCGGCTGCTTTCAGTTAATTCAACTGTATTAAACTTAAGAAGTTGAAGCCCTTGTTATACGAAAAAAACATATTGTTTCCTTAATTGGAGCTGGTGCGTGACATATCATGAGTAACTGGAGCAAAGAGGAGCCGTCCAGTAAATCTATTCCTGGCTCGGTTTGGGGGTTCTTTCTGATTTATTTTGTCAGTGCCAGTTGTTGTTTGCTGTTTACAGCTGGAGCTGCTGGGTCAGAGTGTTTATGACTTTGTTCATCCCTGTGATCAGGAGGAGCTCAGAGACCTGCTCACTACACGTCCAGGTAACATCTAGTGATAAGCATACTTCTCTTTACAGTTATCTTTTTCTGCATTAAAAAATCATTAAACACAGAGAAGTGGGGGGTTGTTTTGTCTATAAGGCCTCAAAATAGTTATTGTGATTTTGATTTTAAAATGAGTTGTGCTTTCAGGTTTACGTAAGAAACCGCTGGCAGAACAGCCGAGTGAGAGGAACTTCTTCCTGAGAGTGAAGAGCACGCTGACCAGCAGGGGGCGCACCGTCAACATCAAGTCTGCTGCCTGGAAGGTTCGCTGTTACCAACGGCAACAGCTGCCTCAGCTATAGAGACACACCTGTCCAGTTCACGTTCATTTATGCCTGATGTTATATTTCTTTAAAAGGTTAATTGAGCATCAGAAACTCCGAGCTGTAGACTGGAGCTTTGTTTTCACACACAAGTGATGAAAAAGAAAACTGCTTTTTTAATTCTGAAACACTAGAAGTTGTTAAGGGCTTCTGCACTGAATGGGAACATTCAAAATTATTCTGGGCAACATTTACAAATTAGGGGGCACTTTTAAAAGAGAGTAATGTGTGCGTAATGTGGCTGTTTTAATTTAAAATGGCTTAATGTTGGTTTTGGATAAAAGCATTAATTGCTTAATATATATATATCCCTTGTGTGGTGTTCGGGTCAAATTGACCCGATTTCCATTTTCAATGTATAAAAAAATATATAAGGATATTTTTGTTCAACCTGAAACTCAATGGCCGGGGCTTATTTATTGTGAAGGACATGTGGAATTGTTTTTATTTTGTTCCAACCTGTTGTACCTTGATCTTTACCCTTTGTAGTGTGCGTCAGCTAAATGCAATGTAATGTACACAAAACTATCCTATACATTATAAACATTTTAGATCTTCCAGAAATGTATAAACATTTTACATTTTCTCGCACTGTCCCCCTCGCACCTGCACGCCGGAGGAGGGACTAAACAGAGACATAACCTCACATTACAGTGTAGAGTGCAGAACTACAATGATCTACCAGCAAAATGGCCAAAAGATATTCTGCTCAGAGAGCCTTGGAGCTAATAATGGATGAGAGTGAGTGGAATGCATTAGAAGAACACGGTGAAGTGGAACAGGAAGACATTTCTGACGATGAGGATAATGTGGAGGTAAACTCAGAATTTGACAGCGAATTGGAAGATTAACTTGACTCAGAGCCAGCTGCTGGAAGACCCCCACAGCCAGCCGCTGAAGGACCCCCACAGCCACATTAAAAATAATAAACATTAATGAAAAAATTAGGGCTGTCAGTCGATTAAAATATTTAATCGCGATTAATCGCATGATTGTCCATAGTTAATCGCGATTAATCGCAAATTAATCGCACATTTTTTATCTGTTCTAAATGTACCTTAGAGGGATATTTTTCAAGTTTTTAATACTCTTATCAACATATGAGTGGACACGTATGCTTTATATGTTTGTTTATTATCATTTGAACAATGACAAATATTCTCATGAATATTAAACCTGTGAACATTACAAATATTCGCCTCAATTCAACCTAGAACCTCTCTCATACAATAATACAATACTGTGTGTGTGTGTGTGTGTGTGTGTGTGTGTGTGTGTGTGTGTGTGTGTGTGTGTGTGTGTGTGTGTGTGTGTGTGTGTGTGTGTGTGATGGATTGTTGGAGCTATGTGCAGCTCAAGGCATATATGCCTGTGTGTATGAGCTGTGTTGCGCGCACTATCCGTGCTGAGTGTGCTGTCTGGCTACCTGCATAAAGTCAAGTGCTCGGCGCAGTTGTCGGCGAAATGTCGCTCCTCTGTTTTCATTGAAACAGCTCCTTATATCCGTTAGCTCAGCTAGCTAGCACCAGATGCTAACAACAACACGTAAGGTGTGCTTCGCTCGCGCCACACATACACACACCCTCCCGGTCCTCCCGATGGCCAGTCCGGGCCTGCCGGTGAGCGTGGAAGTGTGGTCTGCCACAAGCGGGCAGCAGGAGCGAGGCTGTCAGCATCAGCTTGTAGATGGTATTTTAAACTCGATGCACTCTGAAACTACGGCGGCCGAGGACAAAAAATACACATGCGTTAATCGCGTTAAAATAATTAGTGGCGTTAATTTTTTTTTGCGTTAACGTGTTATTAACGCGTTAACTTGACAGCCCTAGAAAAAATGTTTCATTTACATTTGTCCTAGAAAAGCATGAGCAAAATGTAAACCTAGTTTTTATTACAGTGTATTTTTTTTAACATAAATTACATTTTTTATCACAAAAAACGATGGACACTTCCATTGTTAAATTTGATCTAGCAAAGAGTATTTTCAAAAACTAATCATATATTTCATTTATATTGTTGGGGAATGAGTTAAAGACAATATATATAAGGAATTGTGCATGTTGAATTTAGTTCTGTATTTTTTTTAAACCCTGAAATATGTCCCGGGTCAATTTGACCCGAACATTACCAAAGGGTGCGAAATGTGAACATAACACAAGGGATATATATATATATATATATATATATATATATATATAGGCTATATATATATAATTATTTTTATATTTGGAATCTTGGGGGGCCTTTTTTGGCCCTTGAACACATTCTGACAATATCAATACTACCATACTATTAATACAATTAAAAATACATTTATGTACCAGGATGTCCGACTGCGTCCCGTTGCATTGTGCATATGTTTTCTGTTTGTCTTACCCACAATCCTTTGCACAGCATATATATGATAAAGAAGTTCATAGACTGTAAAGACTTAAAATACTTTGATAAGATAATTTCTGAGTATATTTTTTAGATAAACGACGTGTTAATTGACATTTAACATTTCTACTCTGGATTTGTTTGGCTTTAGAAACACATGTTTAGTTTTCAGTAAATGACGGGTCAATGAAGCGTTTTGTTGGAATTTGCACTAAAGTAAAAATCCTCTGCCCAGCTCCTCCATGTTTAATCTCCCCTCCTCCTGCAGGTTGTCCACTGTACGGGTCACCTCCGTCAGCTGGGCGGGGGCTCCACGTCGCCCCCTGCAGGCAGAGTGATGACCCTGCTGTGTGAGCCAATCCCTCACCCCTCCAGCGTGGAGTTCCCTCTGGACACCTGCACCTTCCTCACCCGCCACAGCATGGACCTGCGCTTCACCCACTGCGAGGGCAGGTAGGACTGACTGTACCTGACCTTTGACCTCTCTGTGGTGGGGGCAAGAGAGAAGAGAGGTTCTCCTTTTGGGAGGAAAAAACACAGAGAGAGATGAGAGAGGAAGATAAATCTCTCAACCTTTCATAATTGTAATTCTTCTGTTGTTTTTCTTCAATCTTCCTGTTTCCAGGGTGACAGAGTTGGTGGGATACAAACCTGAAGATCTGATTGGCTGCTCAGCCTACAAGTTTTATCATGCACTTGACTCTCATCACGTCAACAAGAGCCTGCAGACACGTGAGTATCAATGTGTGTGTGTGCTGTAACAGGAAGATAGACATAGTGTAAAGACAGTTATTTTTCAACTTTAGTTTTATATACTAGGTATACAAATATATACACCTACTTTTGAAAAACAACATTTATCATTGCAGTTCCCCTTAGCTGCTTTTGTACAATTATGCAGACTGAGAATGAGCCAGCACACACAGTAGCAGCATTGTCTCCGTGCTCTGTGTGCATCGTTGTGTCCTGTCTCTCTTCTTCTGTACGTCCCTCTCTGCTGTAGTGCTGTCTAAAGGCCAGGTGAGCACCAGACATTACCGCTTCCTGGCGAACAGCGGGGGCTTCGTGTGGGCGGAGACCCAGGCCACCGTCCTCTACAGCAGCAGGACGTCGCTGCCCGAGGCCGTGGTCTGCCTCAAGTTCATCCTCAGGTCGGATCAGAGCCATCAGCTCCTCATTTAAAGTTGCTTTACTCTGGATTCTATAATGACCACTGTGTTGTGTGTCTAGGGGGGGGGGGGGGGGGGGTTGTATTTGAGATTCACATTGACTTGTCATTGTTTTTCAGTAGTTAGGCCTTTCCTTTGTGTACTACTATTCTCTTTATTGCATTACATGTCTTTGTTTTACACTAATTGAGTCTGTGTCCCTGCTGACTCCCTGCTGTTCCCTGAGACAGTTCTATGTTCTGCTGATCTACCATTTATTTTGGAAAAGCCAGTATTTTAGGTTTTTGAACAGAAGACGTGGGAAAAGATGTAATGTAAAGTTACATAACTGTTACCTAAGTGTTCAGAAACCAGTATCTCTTTTCCCTTATTCACTCTGTATGTTCCTCTTCCTCTCTGCAGCGGTGTGGAGCAGCCGGACGTGGTTTTCTCCGTGGAGCAGCCCGCTGCGGCCGGCTGCCTGAAGCTGAGCCCCAACCAGCAGAGGATTCTGGGATTTCTGACCTCAGCCAGTCTGACTCCGGCAGGAGGAAGGAGGAGCTTCTGAAGGAGGCTTCAGAGGCGGAGGACCCCATCACCCCGCTGACAGGAGGTGGGGCTAACACATTTATGTTTACTAAGCACCAGTGAGAAACGCTTCTGTAAACAAATATTATTAGTTTAACTGCCAGGCCAAAAATGGGAACTAGCGATAGTATCACTATCATGTTGTACCTTCTTCTGCTAAATTAAAAAGGTTTGATAGATTATTTTCAAGTAATATTAAATGTATTTCATTTTACATAACGCTCATCTTGCGACTTTTGTATTATCAAAAAGATATCAGTCAAATGTTTGAGTTTATTTTAGCTCAAATGTTTGTCCACACTTTATCACTTATTTTAAGTGTCAAACCAGCAGATGGTGCTAAACAATATACTTTAAATGATCCCATACAATTTAAACAGCGAGGCCCTTTTAGAAATGTGCAGTTAATTAAATGCATTTATCACCATTTAATCGTGATGCACAGGAACTCTAATGCTCTGCTTTACTTGGAGCAAATGTCAATACAAATGAGCTGTTTTATCATAACTCAGTGCTATTCAGTGTTTTCTTTGAACAGACATGGAGTAACTATCAGTGGCAGCTCAGATACTCTGCAGCTCAGATACTCTGCAGCTCAGATACTCTGCAGCTCAGATACTCTGCAGCTCAGATACTCTGCAGCTCAGATACTCTGCAGCTCCCAGGGAACTCTTCTCTCCTGAACCTTTGTGTTGTGTCTCAGATTTCTTGGAGCTGTCGTTCTGCAGTCCCTGCGGTCAGTGCTCTGTGCCGGAGCACCCTCAGGACCTGTGCACCCCCCAGCTGCGTCAGCTGCTCTCACCCATCTTCAGCCCCCTCACTCCACCTTCCTCATCCTCACCCTGCTCCTCCCCTGAGGATCAGCTGGTATATATAATACCAAGTGTTTTTTTTAAACTATGAAAGTGTTAGTGTCTGTCTGATGTCCCTCTGTCCTCTGTCCCTCAGAGCCCCTGTGAGGAGGGGGGGGGGACACCTGCCCGGTGGAGACGCTCTCTGTTGGTGCAGGAGACAGAGAGGGAGAGACACTGGAGGTACGTCTGTTTTCGAAGCCTTTTCACTTCTAGTTATGTTTTAAACTTTTATTTTTCAGAATTAGAATTTGAAAAAGTAAAAAATCTTGTTTTCTACTAATTTCAGATAAAAAAAATCTGATTATAAAATGTTAGTTTAGTTGAGATGTTATACATCTGATATGCTATTCCAACCTGCACTCTATGATATTGATTCAATGCATCTGATAGTGTCTTGGTTGAGATCTGATAGCTGTAAAACTAAAAACCAGTGTAAACAGGTACATGTATTGGAATATATGCTTGGACCTTGAAATGTTTTTGAAAAATCACAATTTGTAATAAAAATAAATGTACTATGTTTGTTTTTTGCAGACAAAATGAGACAGTGAAGGTTTCCTCTGTTTGAGTCTGTGCACAGCTTCATGTTTCTGTCTCTGAGCAGGAGGTGATGGATCTGCATATGTTGGCTCTGTATATCTCCATGGACGATGACTTCCAGCTGAGCGTCCTCAGCAGTGTGCCGGAGGACGACAAGCCCTCCTCCTCTAAAGCGTCCGCTGGGAGGCCGGCAGACACAGCCAGCAGGAAACGGTGGAACAAAGAGTGAACTAGATCAACAGTACAGTAAGTGATTCTCCTTGTCTTGCACATTCCATTCTAATGCTGTAATATGACCAGCTTTTCTGACCATCTTTCTAATTAGATTTGTTGCACAATGAAACAAAGCAGCAGAAACACAAATACAAAAAAGAGAAACAAGTTGATCAAAAAAACAAAAGACCTGCAGGGTTATAGAACGAGAAACATAAATCAAACAAAACAATTAAATACATTATAAAATGTTTAAAGAGGCCCTATTCTGCTTTTTCAGGGAATTCCCTTCCTATAGTGTGTTCTATACGTTTCTGTGCATGTAAATGGTCTGCAAAGGCTCAAATCCCTGTGTTCCCTCAGAGGGAGTGAAGTGGTCTCTGTATGGCAGTCCCTTTGTAACAACAACATGGGATGGGTCATCCTCAGTTAGAGTGCTCACATTGGCTGCATAGAGTCTATCTTTCAGGACTCATCACCCAGATGAGGAGTTGCTGATGATTCAGGACAAGAGACAGAAAGCGGATCCTTCCTCCATAGAAGAGGAACTGCTGCTCAGCCACAGACTGCTGGTGAGGCAGCAGCTTTTCTCAAAGATGTTAATAAAGTGCTTTAGAGAATGAAAAGAACCTCGAGGACTGATTCAACATTTATCTGGAACTAGTGAACGTCTCAGGGATGTGATCTGCATGAAGATAAGTTGAGATGATGGAAGACATGTTCAGAGTCCGAGCTGTGTGCAGATCAGAGAGGAGGACAGTCAGGAATGGATGGAGCAGGCTCATCATTACCTTGCCTTGAATAGTTCCACTTTATAGAACACAGAAAGCACCTTCCATTCACTGTGAAGCCCTCAACTTCCCTGTAACATTAGACTTCTCTCATAACTCATTCTAAAATGTTTAAACAAAAATTCACTTTTTCTAAAACAGGGCTTATAATTTAAAGAATGGGTTTCCCAAAATGTATGAATTTATTTTAAAGACGTTTGACATTACAATGAATCACACAAAGTGTTGACTTGTTGTTTAGGCCTATTTTGCCTCCTCTCACATTTTTTAATTCCATCTTCAGGACTGTCTGGAGGAAATCAACCAATCAGATTGCTTCGTGCAGCCGGGCCCTGCTCACAGACAGAGACCCTGTTCTGGGGGCCATGCAGGGACTTTGTGATACTGCAGGTATGGTGGATCGCACACACACACACACACACACACACACACACACACACACACACACAACACACACACACACACACACACACACACACACACACACACACACACACACACACACACACACACACACACACACACACACACACACACACACACACACACACACACACACACCCACACACACACACACACAGAGATACAGAGGAAGCGCTTTGAACCAGTTTCCAGCTGCTGTGTTCAGTGCTGGCTCCTGGACTGTGGGGCCCGGAGCTCAACACTGCAGATCATCAAGTCTTCTTTGTACATGTTGCCAGTTCCTGTAGCTTCCTGTAGGTTCTCACTCAGAAACCTGACACACGCTTTACTAGTCGGGCAATACAAGCTACTGAGAGTGAAGGTGATGAAGAGGAGGGAATGAACATAAGAGGGATATTTCCCAAATATTTTGTGAATAAAACCCTCTCTAAGATAACGAAGAGGCTGTTATAAATAAAGTGTTGGTCTTTCATCATCAAATGAAAGACAAATCAAACATGCTTCCTTTTATTTTTAAGGTTTTATCTTGTTTGTATTCCTAAACTGAATAAAGCTGATGAAGCAGAGGCTGGGTTGTGATTGGTGTGCAGAAATAATCATCAAAACCTTTTACTAAAGTGTTATTCCTTTTTGTAATCGGCCTTCACGTTGGTGCAGCTCCAAACAGGAAATCTCATTTGTTTTGTTAGAGTTGAACAAAGGCTCTTAGCTTGAGAGTTTACTAAAACGCAACACAGTATTATTACATTAATGAATTGCACAATGAGTACTTACTTTAAGTATGTATGAATGCTGAAATTGGTATTAAGTTGTATTTATACTATAACTTTGGTAAGAAATCTGTATACTTGTTTTAGCAAAAGCTTGACCCAGTTATTTTATTAATAGGTCATTTATATGAAGTGAATTGTGAAGCAGTGACCTTTCACCCACTCTCTGTTGTGAAGCACCTTATAGGCTGAACAGCCAATCCAGAGCCTTGGGTATGTCAGGTGGAGCTGTTCCCATAGCCTGCCTGTACCTGTGACCCCCCCTGCTATCACTGCTCATTCTGCTGTCACACGCTGGTCAGTGAACGCAGCGTTGGAGGAAGCTAGTATTGTAGCAACAATACCGTTTTTAAATACTGTTACATCTAGTAAAAGACTAAACCTTGCATAGTAAATATATATTATAAGAATCAAAATACACAAGTACAAAAGTACTTTTTATGCAGAATGATATATTTAAGAATATTTTAATATCATATTGGATCATAATTATTGATGCAATAATGTGTTCATCACTTTATGGATAAGGTGACACTAAGAAACTAACTAAACGTGTTTGTATGTGTTATATACTACTGCATAGTTCAATCATAATTATACATCAGAATGTGTTTGTTTATCATCTTTATTTTAATAATCTGAATCTGCAAAGTTACTAAAGTTATTATTAAAACTATAATTTTGCTTCTGAGATAGTAGGGGACAAGTAAATATGCATTAGAATGGAAATATTAAAAATAAAGTAGCACTAACTTGCATTTAAACAGTAATTTATTCTTCCAACCTTTTGTATAATCTTAATCTTTAACTGCTAACACTTTCTAAGAAATATACAGTACTAAAGTACAATATTTCCCTCAGCTGTATGGAGTTAAAATATAACATACCATAACATATTCACCAGTACCACAAAAAAGTATTTATTTACAGTTCTTGAGAATAACTACTTAGTTAAATTCCACTGTACAGATCTGACTGTAAAAGTGTCTGTGTTTCCCCTGCTTTAGATTTCACTCGGTCACTCGTTGTACTCGGTGTTCAAGACTGTGACTTCCTGTCTGTAAAGTGTCCTCAGACCCTGGACAGCTGTTGAAGGGCTCCGGATTACACAACGCTGGTTGATAAATGACACAAGCTGTTCAGAGTTCATCCATTTCTCAACCCAAAATACCAGAAGGAGAAAGAAAAAGTACATTATGTCAGAAGGAGACCTTACGTGACTGGAAGCAACATCACAATAAACCAGTGGAAAATTCATGTACTTTTAAATCATTATTTTCTCAGGTGGAATATGGAATGTAGATCTTCTTCAGTAAAAGTAACAGCACTACTTTGTAAAAAAAGTCTTACTAAAGTACAAAATGACATAAAGTAAAAGTATTCTGCAGAGTGGATTACCTAGGGATATATATGATATCAATGTGTAATAGTTATTGATTAAATAATGTGTTAACCTTTAATGTTGAAGCTGGTAAAGGTTAAGCTAATTAGAATCACTTTATATACAGATATGAATCTATAATGTTATATCATGCTGTATTGAGAGTCCCTCAACATGCTACTGAGGCACAATGATTGAGTAAATGTTCTTGGTTTGGTGGGAAAGTGGTAATGCACTGCTTTGTATTTTTTTACTGTACATTTGTATTTCCACATGTATCTTTTTTTACTTTTTAATGCTATTATATTTCTGTTTCTGTTTTAATTTCTCTTATGTACATTACCTTGTCTTTTTAGATTGCTGCAACGCAAACATTTTCTATCTATCTATCTATCTATCTATCTATCTGTCCGTCCGTCCGTCCGTCCGTCCGTCCGTCCGTCCCTCTATCTGTCTGTCTGTCTGTCTGTCTGTCTGTCTGTCTGTCTGTCTGTCTGTCTGTCTGTCTGTCTGTCTGTCTGTCTGTCTGTCTGTCTGTCTGTCTGTCTGTCTGTCTGTCCGTCCGTCCGTCCGTCCGTCCGTCCGTCCGTCCGTCCGTCCGTCCGTCCGTCCGTCCGTCCGTCCGTCCGTCCGTCCGTCCGTCCGTCCGTCCGTCCGTCCGTCCGTCCGTCCGTCCGTCCGTCCGTCCGTCCGTCCGTCCGTCCGTCCGTCTGTCTATCTATCTATCTATCTATCTATCTACATTCTACTGCTGGTTATGGGAACTGTGGTCAGTCTTTATCAATGACTCCATTCATATGACTGTAACCACAGAGGACTGCTTACAGTAAACAGCACCAACGCTTCTCCTTTTCATTTCCTGACAACACACACACCCAACCAACTTCTCCTCAATCACACCCAGGATTCACACTAGAGCAGGAAATCAGGTGTTAACCCTTAATCACACTGTCAATGATGACATGTCACGTGGTTACTGCCACAGTTTAGTCCCTAATGGATCTTACAGGAATGATTCACAATGTTTCCTGTTAATGACTTTCTGAAACATCCTGTTTCTATCAGAAGCTCTTACAGCCTGACAGGAGGTCTTTAATGTTTACAGAAGCTCCAGCAGAAGTTTCTTGGAAATATATGTATATCACACCAAAAGAAGCACGAGGCCACACTCATTAACAAGCATGGCTGACATGATACTAAACACATTTTCTCATCAGTTCAGTACAATTGAATGTTCTTGTTCTGCATGGTTTCATTTGATCCTCATCCTCATCGTCAACAGCTTATAGTTGCCTTGCTTTCCCCAGCCACAACACCCAGCTCTGCCTGGGGGATTCCAAGGGGCTCCAAGCCAGCTTGGAGATATGATCCCTCCACCTGGTCCAGGGTCTGCCCCTCGGTCTCCTCCCAGCCTGAACCAACCCAACTGGCTCCTTTCAACCAAAGGAGCGGCGGCTCTACTCCGAGTCCCTCCTGGACACCTGAAGCTCTCACATGTTCCCTAAGGGCAGCATTCCTCTGGGATAAAAACCCATTTTGGCCTCTTGCATTGTTGATCTGGTTCTTGGTAGAAACAAAGTAAGCTCCTGCTGCTCTGATTCTCATCTCACGCTCCTTTGTCACATCACCAGAGAACAAGATCTACACAACACTTGAACTCTTTCAATACCTACAGGAGTAGACAGTCCATGGTCCTGCTGAGAACCAATCGATCCAATGAGGGCTGAAGGTCCGATGACACCATCAGAGCCACATCATCTGCAAAAAGCAGATGAGCATCCTAATGTTCAAACATGGTGCTTGTTATGGCCGATCCATGACCAACACAGAAAAGTCCAGAAATAAAGGAGAGTCGCCATCAGGTGCCCCATTCAGGACTCTGTTCAGGGTCTCAAGGGGGTCCAGATACTCCAAACTGCTGTTAGGTTCATAGGCAGAGACAACAGTCAGAGTTTGCCCGCCCCCCACCCCCCATAACCCGCAGGCGTAGGGAGGCAACCTTCTCACCCACTGGGGGGAACTGCAGCAGAGCATCCCTCAGCTGGAGACTTGTGAGTATCCCCACTCCCACCCAAAACATGTGTCTCCAGATGTGAGGATTTTGATTGTTTTAAAGATCAATATCTACCGGGTAGATGTTGGCTATGAAAATCTAAAGTCTTGAGCTCTTCCAACGCTACAACACAATAAAACAGGGCTGTTTCACTGAGCTCATGTGAAGCTGACTTTTTAAAGATGTGTTGTTATGGTGTGTAAGATCTCTCCTACAGCAGTTGGGGGGGGGGGGGGGGGGGGGGTGGGGGGGGGGGGGAGTCCAGCGGATCAGAGAAATCCTTGGTTGAGAAAAAGAGTGAAACGTTTTTTGAAGGCATGGTTTCTCATGCACTGTTCAGCTTTTGTGAGTTTGGGCTATTTTACTTCCATCTTCTCTAACGAAAAGAAAACACGCAACATTGAACTTTTATTATACTACACTTTGGCTATTTGCCTCTTTAGATTTCTTCTAAATGTAGTAATCCTTGGCGTTAGATAATTCCTCATTTACATATTTAAACATAAACCGAAAACATCTAATAGAAAAATTCATCGTCTCAATGTAAGTAATCGACTGGGGAAGTTTCATGGAGATATCTATTAGTTCAAATGTTCACCCCATTCACAAACAATATATTTTAAAGCATGGTTTCATTTAGATTATTGCTGTTTTTAAATTAAAGAAATGTCATCAATACCAAAACAATAATATTATACCAGTCAGGGGAATAAACAATCAACTTAATCAGGCCGAGATGTTAAAAACGTTTATTCAGCATATCATTATGTGCAATAATACAATATACAAATTATCTTTCTGTAGATATTACAATCCATATCATATTTAAAATGTGTTGTCACAACATGAAACACAGAATACATTCAGGGTCTGAGAAGGCGTCACAGAGGGTCAGAGGTGAGGGTCTCACCAGGAAACCACTGACGTTAGCTCCATCATCTGAGAGAAACCAGTGAGAGCACCTGTGCGTCTACACCCTGCCACCAGGGCCAACTATCTCAGATCCTTTTTCTGTGCATTCAGATAATAATTCAAATATTCTTTGACTTCACTCACCACAGAATGAACACTGTAGAAACACTAATAGAAATCATTTGATATCTGAGCAGTCCCGACAGGCTGTGCAGCACTGCTGGAATATACTCACTATATTTACTCCAGTATTCTACTTGTTTACAACATTTGAAGAACATTACATGTTTTTTTCAATTTCGTACTCATTTCTACTCCACTACACCTCAGAGGTAAATATTGTACAGTTTTAGATACTTTCAGATTACACTCTTCAACCCCTTCCTGTCCAGTGAGAACCACATCTCTCTAGATGTTGAATGTTTGTGAAAAACTGAAAGAGGAAGTTTTCCTTTATATCATGGGGAAATTGTCCCCCTTCTTAATCTGAATACATTTGAAAAAGGCTTTTAGAAGCAGTCAAATGCATACAGCGCTGGAAACAGGGCTGTTCATCTGAGGAACTTGTGGAAAGTGGCCTGTTTAGAGATATGTGGTTCTCACAGGACAGTAGGGATACAAATATGTGAGCATGTTTAAGAATATGATGCATTGCATACATACTTTTACTTAAGTAAGATTTGAAATGCGTTGGCTTTTACTTGAAGTGGAGTATGGTATGAAAACTTTATCTGAAGTAAAGGATCTGAGTCATTCTTCCACCACTGCTGCGCATTACACTGGCTTTAAATCACCAAGAGAGACGATTCTATAAAAACTAGAATCTAAGAGAATGGAATAGATCAGTTGCTGTGGAAACACAACAGCAAGATCGGCCCCGTCACTGAGGGGAAGGATGGGCGACATCTCCAGAGTGAGTAACACACACACACACACACACACACACACACACACACACACACACACACACACACACACACACACACACACACACACACACACACACACACACACACACACACACACACCACACACACACACACACACACACACACACACACACACACACACACACACACACACACACACCACACACACACACACACACACACACACACACACACACACACACACACACACACACACACACACACTCACTAACTATTATATGACTGCTGCCATATGAAAATCTCAAATTCAGAGTGATGATTTTATATTAAAAGTGAAGGATTCTTATTTAAAATATTGTTTAAAAACAAAATACATTTTCCTCACACTAAAAGCAAGGCATTCAGGATATAAAGGTTAGACAGCTCTTCTGCCATTTACATTCCTACACCACATTATACAATCAACCCTTCAGTCCTCTGCAGATCTTTGTGACCCAACAGGCGGCCAATCAGAGCTTACGAGCTTCATCTAAACTAGCTTGTGATTGGACAGAGTGTCCTGATGCTGGTAAAGTGCAGCAGTCTGCGGTCAGTCAGTTTTCATCTGCAGGATGAACCCTGCAGCTGTCAATCAAATGCTTCAGAACCCCTGAAGCCCCCCGTCTGTCCCTCAGGGGTCTTTGTCCTCCACATGTAGCCCCCCCTCACTCCTGGCTCTGCCACGGGACGACTGCACCTCCTCGTACGGGGGTGGGGGGTTGTCGGGGCTGGACAGAAGCGGGCGATGACCGCCATCTGATTGGCTGACGAGGGACAACGGGTGACAGCTGGGAGCCTCCTGAGCCAATAGGAGCTGGGTGGGTCCTGGCACTGAGCAGGGGGGGAGGCGCTGCCCCCAGCTGCCGTACATCGCCTCCTCGTAGGAGGGGAGGGAGACAGGAAGTCCGTCCACCATCAGGTCCAGCTGGTCCGAGGAGCGCCTGCTGCGGGACAGAGACAAACACTGACTCAGAGACAGGCACCAGACTGGGCTTCACTTTGTTCCCTAACGCAGCCTAAAGGGCACAGCAGGGATTCATGGGAATTTTGCGTTTGCAAAAAATGGAAACCTTTACACTATTTTAATTGAATACATGGTCCTGTAAACATCTGGTAATCTTAACGTGATTTTTAATCTCCTGCCATTAAAGCCTGATAGGGTTCAGTCAGATGTCTGAGAGGACTGCTCTATATTTCTGAATACTCTTCCATCTCTTAGGTTGTAGAAAGTTCTCTTTGAAGATAGATGTTATTTGTATAAAGAGTCTATTTTGTTCATCAAGAAAAGAGCAGAAAGAGACTCTGAGCAACAGTTCAATAAGAATAGAAGAAATGTGCTTCCTGTTTCCAATAATGCCTCTAACAGCCTTTAACTGCCTAGCAAAGCTTTTCTTCTTCTCAGCAGAAACAGAAGCTTAGTGGACTGATGAATCACAGTGTCACCTCTTCAAATAAACCACTGATTACACGGCAGTGAGTTTCAAACAGGTCAGGTGTTTCAGCACGCTGGTGGATTTTGTAATCATGTTTCCTTAACACACGTGAATATAAAAGAAGAACATCCCTTCTGTTATTCAGAGAAGAGGTTCTCTAACAGGGGGGAATCACTGCAGGGAATGATCCTCCTCTCACCTGTGTGATTGACAGGGGTAGAGGCGGGACTTGACCACCAAGCATGCAGTGGTGGTGAGCAGGAAGATGGACACGCCCACCGCCGTGGTGGCCATGCTGGGCATCGAGTCGTTCCCCCGGTCATCAGAGTTCATCTTCGGACCCTCTGAGGAGGAGGAGACACAGGATCAGAAACAACGACCACAGACACCGACAGACCCTCAGACAGACCCTCAGACACACAGACACTGACAGACAGCCCCACAGACCCTCAGACCCTCAGACAGCCCCACAGCCCCTCAGACCCTCAGACAGCCCCTCAGACACACAGACACTGACAGACCCTCAGACAGCCCCACAGACGCTCAGACACACAGACACTGACAGACCCTCAGACAGCCCTCAGACAGACACACAGACACACAGACACTGACAGACCCTCAGACACACAGACCCACAGACCCTGACAGACCCTCAGACAGCCCCACAGACCCTCAGACACACAGACACTGACAGACCCTCAGACAGCCCCACAGACCCTCAGACAGCCCCTCAGACACACAGACCCTCAGACACACAGACCCTCAGACAGCCCCTCAGACACACAGACCCTCAGACACACAGACCCTCAGACACACAGACCCTCAGACAGCCCCTCAGACACACAGCCCCTCAGACACACAGACCCTCAGACAGCCCCTCAGACACACAGACCCTCAGACACACAGACCCTCAGACACACAGACCCTCAGACAGCCCCTCAGACACACAGCCCCTCAGACACACAGACCCTCAGACACACAGACCCTCAGACACACAGACCCTGACAGACCCTCAGACACACAGACCCTCAGACACACAGACCCTCAGACACACAGACCCTGACAGACCCTCAGACACACAGACCCTCAGACACACAGACCCTGACAGACCCTCAGACAGACCCACATACACTGACAGACCCCCTGCCAGTAGCTGAGCAAACAGAGGCTGAGCTTCACAATGAAACAATCATTGAATGATTCAGCCTCCATCTGGAATCCCCTCTCCTCACACTGTACTCCTCCGCTCCACCTAACCCTAACCCTAACCCTAACCCTCCGCTCCACCTAACCCTAACCCTAACCCTCCGCTCCACCTAACCCTCAGCACTGCAATTCTATTATTCTCACTATAACCAACGTTATCTATTTTCAATTTTTACTACATATCACATAATTGTTTATTTTCTTTGTAAATATGTTTTTTTTTATTTATTAAGTGCCACTTTTATAAATATATAATATATACAAAATCTGTTCATACATCTTCTGTGTGTAGTGTGGACAGGGCTAGAGCTACAGATCATTGTGCAATTCTGTCTTGTAAAATGACAATAATAAAACCTTGAACCATTGAATTGATTAAAAAATCATTAAAGAATGAACTGTATGCAGCTAAAGGTACACACAGACATCTCTGGCCAAATATCCGACAGAAAAGGAGCATGTGGAAAGTGTCTGCACGCAGCTTCAGTTAAAACGTTGTTTAGGTGGTTGAGAAAACAAATTGAAACGCGTAGATCTGTAACAATGAGTGGAAGCTGTGGCAGAACAATCACCTGTGGTGGAAAACCCAGACAGCTATTATCTAACAGAAATAGATGATCAAACACACAATCTATGACGGGAGGTTTTGATCTGGTTCTGTGGGTCCCCTGATCTCCTGGCAGTAGATTTCCATGAGGCTCTGACAGCGTCATCACAGGGGAAATGTCTAATGGTTATCATGGTGGCATCGCCCACTTCCTCTTTCTGCACTCTGACTTCCTGTCGCATCGCGTTCTTAGTGAATGGGGAGAGGAAGTAGAACTGGTCTGAGTAATGTGAGGCTGAGACAGTCTCTGTGAAGTTAGGAGATGAACTTCAGTTTACATCAGACTCTTCCTCCTGATCTCAGCTTAACAGTCAGTCATTGAGACAAAACTCCAGTCCACTTAGGTCCAGTGGAGGTATAATACCACTCTGTAAAATACTCTGTTACAAGTCAAAAGTCCTTTGTTTCTTAACTAAAGTATGTAAGTATAACCAGGAACTACTTAAAGCTGTAAAAGTATAACAATGGGTGTTTCTCAATGTCGAGTAAAGCTGCTTCAGAGCCACTATTTCAAGCATACTACGTCATCGAGTGCCGCCGAAGTACTGTTCCAATCTCCAGCATACTTGGAAATCTACCGAGCCCGGCGTACTCCGTTTGGAGAAATATCGAGGCTGCACATGAGTAGACTCCGCGGTCTTAAAATCCCCACAATGCTTTGCGCACGGACCAATTTCCCCAAATCTGTGGCGGAAGATGTAAGGCGGGGCCTCTCATATGACGCACACCTGCACACTTGCTAGCCTGTTCTACTCTTCGTTTTCCGAATGCCAGGAAGTATTCTTGACTCGCTTCTGAAGCAAGATGCTCGGCAGACATGTGCTACCAAGCAAGCGTACTCGCGATTGAGAAACACCCAATGTCTCCTGTCATTGTTTACTTTAATGTACTACATCATCATCATTTTGCTGTTGTAGTTGTTTGAGGAGGCGCTCAATTTGGAACTATTTATTAAAGATGTCATTTTTATAACGGATTCAGTAGATTTTCTCTATTAGTTTTATTGGTAAATAAAATGAAAATGGTGGTTTAATAGTAACACAATTACCCTGATCCTAAATGACACAATTGTTAACAATGTTAAAGGGCAAAAGCAGCTATTACTTGTTTCTATTGAGACATGGAATGTTTTACATAAAAAATGATAACTAGGTAACTAAAGCTGTACAAAGAATGTAGTGGAGTAACAGTTTCATATTTTACTCTATAACAGAGTAGAAGTTAAAAGAAATATAAAAGCTTCGATACAGTAAAAGCACCTAAAATGTGTTGGTGAGTACAGTTCTTGAGTAAAGTCCACTGGCTGAACTATAAACTCTTTTTGTTGAAGCTCAGCCTGACACATCATGGCTGTAATCAGACATGTTTAGGTTGATATCTCTCCTCTGAGAGCCGCACCCAACCAGGATGTCCTCCTCTGCTTCCAGAACGCTCTGAACCAGGAGTGATGTCAGTGAAGACCAATGAGCTGCACCGCTGAGTCATTAGATAATAGCCTGAGCTCATCACTGAGTAATGCTGTGAAGCAGGGGCTGCTGGGAAATGTCAGGGGATGTTTGGAGTGGTCCGAGAACATCTGCTCACTGATTAGGAATTTTAAAGTCACATGATTGAAAACCTAGAGAGAGCAGTGGAAACCTCTGAAGCCACAGAGAGAATAAAATGTTCTTCACTGACGCAAACCACCCTGTGTTCAACTCTCGTAAAATCTGTCTGTAGGAAGGGCCAGTCATTCAAATACTCATACATCCCACACATATTTTGTGTTTCAACAAGTGGTGGAAGAAGTACTGAGATCCTTTACTTGAGTAAAAAGTAGAAATACCAGAGTCTAAAAATACTCCATAGAAATGAAAGTGTATTAAAAATGTACACTATCAGCAAAATGTACTTAAAGTATCAAAAGTCAAAGTTGTTATTGAGCAGTGTCTTGTATTATAACAGAACATGATGCTCTCCTGCTGTTATCTGCTCCTCAAGAGGTCTAAAGTTGTGGTTTGTCAATGACAAATCCATTTAACATTATAGATAGTAATATAGTGCTGCATCATACCATATGTTTTAATGTGTTAAAAGCAATGGTGTAATGTAACTAAGTATATGTACTCAAGTAGTCTGATTAAGTACTTTTTTGACATATACATATACTTTACTTGAGTAAGTGTGTTTTATGCTACATATCATTGTAATCCACTACATATTGGAAGCAAATATCATACTTTTTACTCCACCACAGTTTTTCAAGACTCACACTTTTTACATATGATATATGATAAGATGCAATACTGTTCTACATATATACCTAGTATTTTGTATATATCGTTAGTAAATTGGCTCCACATTGCAAAAACTACAAGTTTAAATGCTCCTACATTTACTTGTTAGTTGTGAAAACAGAATAATATTATATTCTATAATAATATAATAAATTATAATAAAAAAGGCATTATGCTTACCGAGTACTTTGATACTCAAAGTACATTTTGCTCAAAATACTTCTTCATAATTTGACTTGAAACTGAGTATTTTAGGACCATAGTATTTGTACTTTTACCTAAATTAAGAATCTGAGTATTTTTCCACCACTGGTTAATAGGGATCATGTGTCAAGAAAATGTAGTGTGGTGAAAAGAACATCATTCATCTCTGGGATGTAGAGCAGTGTAAAGTAACATAACATGGAAATATTGGATGGATATTGGCAATTCAATACAGAATAAAAAGCCCTTCAAAATGAATGTAGGCCCTGTAACTGATTCACCAGCACTAATATATGGTATGACCTGCCTGAAGTGAATATATCTGAACTATCTTTGTTGGTTGGAGTTTGAATCTGGATGGTTTTTGCACTTAATGTAAGTCGCTTTGGATAAAAGAAATGGAATGTAATGTGTTATTGTTGCACTCTCACCTCTGAGAGGGGTGCAGGCGGGGATGGGGGGCATCCACCTCCCGTGTCGGCACCTGGAGACGCGCACCTTGCTGTTGACATGGTAACCGGGCTCACAGAAGAAGTGGATGGAGCTCTTCTGGGGGAACCCCCGACACGGAGACGGGTCACAGCGGAACCCCCCATGCTCCGGCACCAGAGGGTGGGTGCAGTTACTGAGGCGGCCTGCAGGCAGAAACACACTCTGTGAGGCCTAATGCACTGGATTCATATATATACTACTTATGTGTAATATATAAATATACCTCTTCATAAATATGATATCATCAATGGCCCCCCTTAGTCAGACAATTCAATTCATCTTCTGTAATAAATCTGTAAATAACTGCAATATATACTTCGCCTCCAAATACTGTCACCTAGCTGCTTCCTCACAGCTGTTACTGGGACTGGATGTGTATTTTGAAAATTGTAAATTGTGTAATTTCGAATTTTATCTTTAATATTGTATGCATTCTCTTAATTAATATTAAGCTATATTTGGCTCTGATTCTGAGCCGGCTACTGGTTAATGCTTATATTTCTCAAAAATTAAACCATCGAACCATCTGCCTTCTTGCAAGCTGGGAAAATTAGGATTTTATTTTCCTTAAAAATGACTTATGGATGGATAGTAGAGTAGAAGTTCTATCAGAATATTCCTTTAATCTGTTCAATTAAGTAACTTCAGTACACACTTTCAGTACTGAAACTTCAGGACACACTCTTTTTGTAGGGCCATTTATTTGACAGAAAGTCAATCCACCAGCTGGGTTTCTCTTCCTACGTGCATCATGACTACTCACCCTTCAGTAGGAAAAAGTGGCATAAATTGGGAATACTCAAGTAAGGTACATGTACCTCTAATTTGTACTTAAGTCCTTGAGTTGTACTTGTTTGAGCAGACGGTGCAAGAACACATGTCCAGAGTGAAACACAGCAGGTGATGTTGTTCTGGTTCTCTGAGTGAGAGGCTCTACAGAAGGTCACAGTTTGGGTTAGGTATTAATATGAAACCCTGAATGCATGCTGCAGTTGTTTTTTTGCAGCATTAAAACGTTGCCCACAAACTCCTCTGCCTTACACAGCTGGCAGAGCTGTTACCACTTCCTCTATTTCTTCACCTGCATCTAAAGGGCTGCGTCGGCAGAACGATCGTTTCCACCGAGCTCCTTCACCCGAACACAGTGAAGAGTGGGTCAAGAGTAAGGAGAGGAACAGGCCGGAAGGAAAGATACAACGGTTCTGATGAGAAGAGGAAGAACCAGAGAGGTTCAAACCTGACAGAAAGTGTCTGCATCCTGAAACACGCTGCTAAAATGTAATGTTTCACAATCAGTCGCCATGACACCCTGCGTGCCACTGTTATAAACTACCTGGGTCGTGTTGGCAATAAAAGCTAGTATTCAGTCGGTTTATATTCACCAATAAATCCCAGAGGTTATGTAAAACATAGATAAATATCAGTTTTTCATAATTTCTTTAGTTGGAGATTTCTACGGTAGAATTCAACACGCTGCAAACAGAGACAACACAACAAATACAAGAAGCTCAAGCAGAGCACAAAGCAGCTGGGACACACTTTTTGTTGCCATTGTTGCCATGGTTATTGGCTTATAAAGTTATTAAGTCAACCATCGATCAGTGTTGTTGGAAAAATAAGGTTGAGTATTTTTTGCTTTATTTTAACATCATGACCACAACTGTCACAAGTAGCCTAATGTTCAAAATCTAAAATGCAAGTTTATTCAATTATTGTTTAAAACTAATTTAGTTGCAGTTTGACGGCATAAATACAATCATAAAGTCAAAACGAGTCATTCTGTCATAAAAGATGATTTGATTTGATTAGTTATTTATTAGCTATAGCTCAGACAATGTTTCACAGGTAATTGTTTTGTTTCATCAGATGGCTAAGCTAATAAGCTAATAAGCCAAAGGCCCTGCTTCAGCTGCAGGTGTTGTGTGCTGCTTCCTGCTGCACAGTTCTGTGCCTGCAGCGTGTTGAACTCTCACTGCTTTTTTCACTTGAGTTCTGTGTTTTATATCTTCCTGTGTGCTACAACGTATAAAGGACAAACCAAAGCAAAGACCGAATGAATAACAGATGGATGCCTGGGTGTTGGTCTCTGGGTGTCAGAGGGGTCAGGGAGGTCAGAGGTCGTACCTGCTGCGAGGAGCGGGGAGGCGGCCAGGAGGAGGAGTCTACACACCAGAGTGACGCGTCCCCACGGCGATGGAGACAGGACGGACGCAGACATCAAACCTGATCCTGAGGACACGACAGGGATAGAGTCAGAAGCAGAACACCCACACACACGCATGTTTCATTTTCAAAACCAAAATGTTTCTGGTGTAGTTGAGTCATTGTTTGACCTATAAATGTAACACCCTACAATTGACCTAAATGTAGGCTAGCTGCTGAGCTCTTATCTCCAGATTAAACCACGACTGTAAACCTGCCCCCAGCCTTCAGAGCAGCGATAGTGAAACTGAAATGTGTGAACTCTGACTAGACAGACCCTCTCAGAACAGAAACCAGCAGCACCACAACAACACAACTCTCTCTGCAGATGACTCGTCCAGAACACGGCAACACGCACTGTAGGAGCCAAAACGTTTATTTAGTTGTTGTTGATTGTTTCTATTATTTTGTCATTTGTTTACACCACAATAAGTCTTTATAATAAGTCCAGGGGCCAGTACGCCAGTTTCTACGCATTGTTTGCGATTTATAAAAAACAAACTTGACGGGAAAATGTGCGGTCCTCCACGCAAACTCTGACCCATGCGTCTAAGCATGGGTCTAAGCCAGGGGTGGGGAACCTCCGGCCCCCGGGCCGTATACGGCCCGCGAGACAATTTGATACGGCCCTCGAGGTAACACACGCAAAAAAGAAAACAAATTAAGAAATCTAGACCGCATAGTGGGTGCCTGTTTTTCCTGGCCAAGGTCAGGGTCCTTGAACACAACACGAGCCTAACGTGTCATCGCGTGGTGTATGAGGTGACGGAGAGCACCAGAACGCCGCTCCGGGCCGGGACTTCAGAAATGTCAGTACCCATAAGGAGCCGTACACATGCCGCAGTTTTTGCGTGGCTGTGTCTTTAGTTGAAAGCCCAGTGGCGATCTGTTCATCTGTCATACTGATCATACAGCCAATACCTTTGTTGCTATTAGCATCTGGTTAGCTAGCTATGCTAACGAATATAAGAAGCTTTTTCTACAACCAGTGAGGTAAAGGCACATCTTTATATGATCATTATAGTTATAAAAACATAAGAGAATAAAGTAAACTACTATATAAAATACTATATGACAGTAAAAAAAAGTTGTTATTAATAAACAAGAATACAGTTTGAAAGGGGAGTGATTTGTAAAATATCCATAAAGAAAAATAAAATCTGCTTCCAGTTCTGTTTCATATGGGTGTTGAGAGATGTATCCATAGATCTCCTAATGTTGCTCTCAAAGTGCATCAGATTGATGCTTTTAACTTCAACATTTAAAAACAAATCTTCCCGGGGGAGCATGGAGCGTCCGGGGGGGACCCCCCATAGAGGAGGTTAGGTCCCCCCCCCCACTTAAATCATGTCCACATGGATAGGATACTAAATTGCACACATCTTGTGTCCATATCTTTCTGTTTTGGTGGTCATGCCACAACCGTGCACGTGCATGCATACGCGAGCCAAATGAATGGGCTGTGATTTTAGTATTTTTAAGCAGAGGTCAATCATTTGTACGGCCCTCGGAGGTTGTTGAACAAATTGAAATGGCCCTTGAGAGGAAAAAGGTTCCCCACCCCTGGTCTAAGCACTAAGCACTAAAACGGGAGAGACGAGAAACTGCGACACCGTTGGCAGAAGGAAGAATGGAGAGAAATATGTGGAAATAATACCATAAATAAAATGTTACCTCTCATTTATCATATATGAAGAATTATTTTTCACAAATTGATTAAAGCCAATCTTAAAATGATTAAACAAACGCCTGTTTGAGACTCCTCAGTGCACACAAAAACATAACTTGGAGAAATAAATAAATACGGAAATGTTATTGATCACCCCTCGATTATGTTCTCTTGTTAAGAAATGTATTCTCATAAATGATGCGGTAAGCAGGAGGACAGAATTACTTTAAACTGACGCTGTTTTGCATTTCTATAGGTTGTATCAAGGCCGTATTCATGGAGTCAACATTGGGGGGGACCAAAAATTCAATCAAAATTTGAATACAAATTTCCTGCCATTCTAAAGGAAAATATATAAAAATTCACTAACACGTGGGATACTTTAAAACCTGTTAAACCCCATGCCCCCGCCCGTGGGGGCAAAAAACAACAATATTCACGAAACTGTGTCTCGGTCTTTTGGAGGGACACTATCATTTACACTTTTTTACTATGTTCAATCTGAATTTACTTTAAAAACAACTATATTGATTCTGAATTTTTCTACATCCAACTCACAGGTTTATCATTGCTTTGAGAAAAAAGATTATTAATTTACCCATTTTAGAAGTGAAGATATAGTCAATTAATAATAATAATAATAATAGCTTGCATTTATATAGCGCCTTTCAAGGGACCCAAGGTCGCTTTACAAGTAATAGGGCAAAAACAAACATAACAAAACAAAAGTCAGACAGACAAAACAACAGATCGATTAGGGGCCGAAAGCCTTGGCAAACAGATGGGACTTGAGGGCCCTTTTGAAGGCGTCGAGTGTGGGGATGTTGCGAATCTCCGCAGGGAATTGTGAAACTTAGCCTCCGTACGGACTGCTTATTGGGAACAGGTCACAATGATGAGCCAAGTTTAGCCTGTTGAGCGACATCATTTATTGGAAGTTTTGATGCTACACACACCTTCCTGTGATGAGAGAATGCAAACCTGGTCTCAGCCTAAATGTAAATGTCAATGTGTGTGTGTGTGTGTGTGTGCGTGCGTGACTGGCATGGTAAGGCAGGGACCCTCCCTCACCGCTCCAGAGATGACTGGCATGAAAGCACTAAAGACACGCACGCACGCACGCACGCACGCACACACACACACACACACACACACACACACACACACACACACACACACACACACACACACACACACACACACACACACACACACACACACACACACACACACACACACACACACACACACACACACACACACACACACACACACACACACACACACACACACACACACACACACACACACACACACACACACACACACACACACACACACACACACACACACACACACACACACACACACACACACACACACACACACACACACACACACACACACACACACACACACACACAACACACACGCACACACCACACACACGCACACACACACATCTCACGAACACACTCTGCGTGGGAGCTCTGGATCTTAGTCATCACGGCCCTCTGTGATATTAAAACTGCTGTCATTTTTGTCAACACAATTCTAATACACACAGAAAACTCTAAAGACATTCAGAGATATGTTGTACCTCAGTAAAAGTAGCAAAACTATAATTTAGAAATAATTTGTTAAGTGTAAAAGTCCTGCATTAAAAAAATCATACAAAAGTATCAGCACCAAAATATACGTATATAAGTACCAGAAGTGAAAGTACTCACTACGCAGGTCCATTTCAGAATAATACATATAATATTATTGATATAATTATTGATGAATTAATGTGTTAATCATTGTAATGCTGTAGCTGTCCAAGTTGGACAAGAAAAATATTTAACTTTATATACTACTGGGTAGTTTATATTTAATACATCATTATAGTTATTAATTTATATTATTTATTAATTATTGCACACTGCAAGGTAACATTAGGCATTGAAATGTTATTTTATGTAAAAAGCGTACTATTTGAGACTGGGAATGAACAATAGTAAATATTCAAGTAAAGTACCTTAACACTGTACTGAAGTACTGTAAATGTATTTGAGCAGCACTGCCGACATTACTTCATGAAAAGAGCTGGGAACACATTTTCAGAAGCATATCAATGATATGGTGACCTCACAGCTGGGAGACCCTCTCTGCTGCAGATGATCTTACAAAGCAAACACTGAGCATTTTCACTCCTCTCCATCCTTCATCATGAGGAGGCTTCAGTTACAGCAACAGAGCTGTGGGATAACAACTGCTGAGCACACGCTCTGAGGAGCACACGCTCTGAGGTGCACACGCTCTGAGGAGCACACGCTCTGAGGAGCACACGCTCTGAGGAGCACACGCTCTGAGGTGCACACGCTCTGAGGAGCACACGCTCTGAGGAGCACACGCTCTGAGGTGCACACGCTCTGAGGTGCACACGCTCTGAGGTGCACACGCTCTGAGGAGCACACGCTCTGAGGTGCACACGCTCTGAGGAGCACACGCTCTGAGGAGCACACGCTCTGAGGAGCACACGCTCTGAGGAACACACGCTCTGAGGAGCACACGCTCTGAGGAGCACACGCTCTGAGGAGCACACGCTCTGAGGAGCACACGCTCTGAGGAGCACACGCTCTGAGGTGCACACGCTCTGAGGAGCACACGCTCTGAGGAGCACACGCTCTGAGGAGCACACGCTCTGAGGAACACACGCTCTGAGGAGCACACGCTCTGAGGAGCACACGCTCTGAGGAGCACACGCTCTGAGGAACACACGCTCTGAGGAACACACGCTCTGAGGAACACACGCTCTGAGGAACAACTATTGGTCCATCAGAGCACTCATACCACTGTGAACATACTGAAACTAACTGGAGTCAAAGTATGTCAGAAAGTACCACACAGGAAATTATTGTGCAGTAAAAAGTTCCTGTGTGTTTTACTAACATGTATTATGTTTAATTATAATAGTAATAGTAATGCTGCATCTACTGTATGTGGATGATGCATTTTACTGCATTTTATTTCCAAGCTCCTTCTTGGAAATATTTTCAGTCACACAGGAAATGATATACTTAATGTTTCCAGCCAAAACAAGAGATGTGTTTGGTGAAAACAGGGGAGGAGCAGGGTGTAGAGGAACCACACCTGCCGGAGGGGGTAGATCAGTAGCTGAGTGAACTCTGCTCTTTCTGCCCTGCTGCTCACTGTTTCTACAGATCAAAGTTTAGCCTCAGGGTTTGATTTGTCTCTTTTATAAAGAACTGACTCATCTGTGCAGTAGATACCAGTGGACATGACTTAGTTACAAGCAACCACCCTGCATTCAAAATCTAGGGGTATCAGCATCAATATAAACTTAAAGTACTAAGACTAAGAGTACCTATTTTGCAGAATGGCCTATTTCATAACAATGCATATTCCATGAATAGATCATGTAATGCATCATATTCTGTGTGTTCACCACTTCTGCTGGTAAGTGAGGGCTTCATTTGACCTAAGGACTTACACTGCTCGGTACTATAAACAATGCATAATCATTGTATTAGTTGATTTGTGTTCTGTAATAGCAATCTGAATCTGCAAAGTAACTAAATGCATCACTTATTGCATCCGAGATGAAGGAGGGTGGAAGGAGAGAGTAACAGAATCACTTAAATGAAGTGTACAGTAAACACAATCTCATATAAGTGATGAGGAATGAACACTAAATGAACATTCATTGACCATCGACACAAAGCGATGTCTGAGCAATGATCTGAATCATCAAACATTGACGTAGTAGTCCTAACCTCGTCTACTTCCCTCTGTTCCTGCACCTCCAAGCTTCACCACTTTTCTTATTTTATGAGAATTGCTTATACATGTGATTTTCCAATAAAGATCCTATACAGAAGAGGACATATGAACTGTTGTTTGGGGTCTCAGAGACTTTAGCTTTTCAGTTCTAAGTGGTAACTTAGAACTCTTCCTACAGACACTTCTACCACATCCCTATCCATGTGTGAGGAGTCTGAGTTCCACTTCTCTAATCAACCTGAAACATAAGCAACATTACCAGAGAAAACCAAAGCTGCCATCGTCACAGCCGGACAGCACTGAGGAAGAGAAGCCAGTGTTTCTCACAGACAACGCCTTCAAAACGTCCTCTTGTCTATATTTAATTTGATATAATCATATATGACAAATATAGCAACCACAAGAAACCTGCTCCTTCCTGCTCAGTGAGATGATGGGATGTTTGGGTGTGTTAATGCTCTGAACAGTACACACAGTACACAGCAGTGTGCTGGTCTCTGTATGATGTGCTGCCACAGATTGCTGTTTGCCTTCAATCACTGAAACACTTCCCCCTCTGAACACGGTCAAATTAAAAGCTAATTGAACATTGAAGCTGAATAAATATGAATGACAGAATCACACAAGTTTTTTTGATTGATCGGGTTAGCCTTGTGATATAGAACAACTGGGAATAAACAACAATATAATGATTGTAAAAGGTGAAGCTCATACTCAATGTTCCTGCAGGTAAAGCAGGCAGTAGGCTCCATATTAGCTCCCGCTGTCTGCCACTTCCTGTGCAGCTTTTTACAGATGAATTAATGTAGTTATTACCAGGTCTGTATGTTTTGCGGAACAGTGATAAATACATTTGTATTTAATTGCACTAAAAAGGCACCCAAGTGTGTCTGGAGCACAGGCCTTCTCAGTGTTATCTGTGGGGGGGGTCAAGTGGGGCCACTAGAGTCCCAGCAGGTCACACACACACAGTCACATACATCCAGGCATTCACTTTTTTTTTTAATACATCTAAAGTTGAAATATTAAACTAAATCATTATCATTTCATCTGAAAACATGTGTTTTCATTTTCTGGTTTATGAAATGGCAAAAAAAAAGTGCAGAAATTATTCTGTGAAGTCTTCAATCGCCTCTTTTGTCCAACCAACCGTCTGAACCTCATCACAGTCCTGAACACATCCAGGGACTGACAGAGTACACTGTGGCCCCCCAGGGACCACCTCATAGCTCCACACTGTGGCCCCTCAGGACCACCTCATAGCTCCACACTGTGGCCCCTCAGGACCACCTCACAGCTCCACACTGTGGCCCCTCAGGACCACCTCACAGCTCCACACTGTGGCCCCTCAGGACCACCTCATAGCTCCACACTGTGGCCCCTCAGGACCACCTCACAGCTCCACACTGTGGCCCCTCAGGACCACCTCATAGCTCCACACTGTGGCCCCTCAGGACCACCTCATAGCTCCACACTGTGGCCCCTCAGGACCACCTCACAGCTCCACACTGTGGCCCCTCAGGGCTCTGCACTGCATTTAGTACCACAGGTTAAAAGAGCCTTTGTTCCTCAGTGGAAGCTTCATGACTTCACAATAATATTCCTGTGGTTATTAACTATCAAGAACCATCCCCCTAACAATCACTGTCACACTGACATGAACATCATCACTGTCACATAATTACAAGTCTTATCCACCTACCCCATGTTTAAAGCTATCTGTTCCATGAATCATCCAAGATCTATTCCAGCAGCCTCTGCGCTCTGTTGTCTGTTGATTTTACATATCAGTTATATTTTTATGTTTACATTGATTGGCCTGATTTGTTGTCCTTGTTTTAGATGTAGGCCTATGTCCATTCCGGTAATATTAATAAAGCTGATGTGTTGACATATTAAATAAAGCTGATTCTGGTCCTCGTTCTGTCACCAGAAGGTTTAATTAATAGGCAATAAGCAGTTCATGTTTTCTCTGTATGAACTCACAGCTACAGCAATTCAGTTGATTTGATCAAAGGCTATAAAATAGAACCCCGCGGAGGGACACAGTGTGACGGTATGTTATATGTGTATAGCTTATTGATTTTAAAAGCGTGCCGGCAGGTCTCTGATTGGACCAAGTATTTATACCAAATGTCTCAAAGTCTCACCTGGGAGCCGCGGAGAGGCAGCAGCGGGAGGCGGAGGTGAGGCGGAGGGGCTGTAGGCTGGAGGAGCTCCTCTGGTTCCCCGGCAGGTGAGATGGCTCGCGGCTGTAGATCTCCGTCAGCTCCGCTCCTGCCTCAGCAACAAGTGGGTGCTGCTCCGCTACCTCGCGCTGACTCATCGATCAGCTGTGTTTGCGAGCAGCCCGGGCGGTGATTGGCTGCTGCGAGCAGCCAATCACCGCCCACCTGCGCGGCTCCGTCAAGTTCTGGAAAAGCTCCCATTACCTCACAGCACAGAGGCGCGCTCCGGCGAGTACACGCACACACATGCACGAGCACGCAGTTATTTAGAAAAGGGAAATCGCGGCCACTTCAATCACAAATATAGAAATGTGGAAACCAAATGTTAGATAATTGTGAATAGAGGAATGACAACATCTGAACCTTATATTAGTCTCATCCATTTACTTCTATGTGTAGCCTACTAAAATGCAGCTTTAGGTACCGGAACTTTATAGAAATAAATATAGTCTATTTTTCACTTCACTACATTGGCTCATCACTTTAGTTACTAGTTTAGTACGGACTTACATTATTATTATTATTATTAATAAATATAAACTTTGGTATTTAAAGTATATTTTGATGCGAATGGTATTCTGAATGTAGGACTTTTGTGACCAATTATTTATATGTTGTAGAATTGCAACATTAACTCAAGTGAATTATCTGAATTCTTAACTTTAAAGGAAAGGTGAATGCACACACACACACACACACACACACACACACACACACACACACACACACACACACACACACACACACACACACACACACACACACACACACACACACACACACACACACACACACACACACACACACACACACACACACACACACACACACACACACACACACACACACACACACACACACACACACACACACACACACACACACACACACACACACACACACCAGCGTTACAGCTCTGCTGCTCACGCACTTCCACTGACTTGACGGAAGTGCTATAAATAAAAGCGGGCTGCTGAGCAGAGAATAGAGCTGCTGGTTTGTGTAGAGCAGCTCCAGCTCACCACGCAGCATGTGGATCTTTATCACACATCTTATTATTCAGTTGGGTGACTTTAAGGATGCCTTAATATCCAACACTGGGGAGGTACATTGATTAAAAGTGGAGAACTTGTTGGAAGGGTTTTCTTTAATCATGTCAACAGAAATGTAGAAATAATGTTTTAATATTACTAGCACCCACTATCGGTATCATTTTACCAGTGGTTTAAAGTAACTAAGTACATTAATTCAAGTACTGTACTTGTACTTTACTAGAGTAAAGTAAAGTAAAGTTTGTTGCTACTTTGTACTTCTACTCCACTACAATTCAGAGGTAAATTGTGTACTTTTACTCCACTACATGCATTTAACCTTTAGTTACTTTACAGATTTGGAATAATGATGTGATGATTCTTCTTCTTCTTCTTTTAAAGGTTTGATACCAAATTAGTCATTCTGATTCTGCATCATCTAATGAATAACCGACCACATGGGCCCTAAACATGCTTTAATAAGCGGAGCATTTCTCCATGGGGCACCTGCACAAGGTGTGGTACTTCACCATGTGTATAGTTTTTGAGATTTATTTGGATATAATTGCACTTCCATACATGTAGCAAATCAAATAAGGATTTGATAAAATATTGATATCTTTGGACATTTTGTGTCCATCTTCGAAATTGCGAGCCCCAGCTGGCAAATAAAAATCTGTCTTTTGCATCAACCCTTTAGAATCCTTTGTAAGAGTTTCTGTTATTGAGTTGCAGTACTTGGTGTAATTTAAGGTATCACAGTAAGATAAAACATGCCAACTGTAAATGTATTCATGTTGATTTGGTGCTAACAGCACATTAACATCCTTTCTAAAACCCTCACCATCAGCAATTCTATCTGATCACAACTGGGCCCCTCTATAGCTCAGCATGATGATGACTGATGTGTCCCAAAAAGGCCACAATACACAGAAAACACGTTTTTCATTTACATGAACTTTCCTCTGGCACCAATAAATCAAACAAAAGTGTTTTAGTGTGTGATGAGCATGGAGCTGCGATCTCTTTCCTGCTTTCGCCTGTTGAATATGTGTGACCATGTTTCACTCTACTCTAAAGCTTCCTAAGTGGAGAATACATTCATCTTCGCTGCACCTGTCAGCGGGCGTCTGTTAAAAACAACATTTCAGAACAGACAAAAAGAACAGAAAACCGACACCATGGATGACTTTTACAAAATCTGTATTTATAAAAAAAAAAAAAAAGCATAATTTGCAAAGTGTAGTCTATGTTTTTTTTTTTTACAATACCAGTGAAATTTACAAAAACAAGATGGAGCAGGAACAGTTGGAATTGGATGTTTGGCAAGACATGTCAATACTGCACAATATTTAAACAAAAGGCAAGTCAATAACAATTACCCATTTGTCACATATTTCATAGCGCAGGCTGGTTGGTCAGTAGTGGTCAATGGGCATCAGTCACCACACGGTCGCTATGGAAACCAGTTGCAGGGGGTTTTCCCAAGAAGCAAGACTATTCATGTAACTGCAAAATCCCCAAAATGTCGGTCAATATGCCGCAAGGCAAGGCACTGAACCCTGAACACAGCACTGGGCTGCTCATTGGCTACTTGTAAAGAAATGAAAACTATAGGAAGCTCCCGAAAATGGAGGTGAGAAGAAAATCTGAAGTGGTCTCAGCAGGAATGTCAATGAGAGCCTTTTTAATGTATCAAGCAGGAAGATCTTCTCATAACTTCTGATACAAATGATTGGACTTTTTCAGATATGCGAGATGACAAGAAGCGTCATGGAAGTCTCTGTTCTCCGTCTTTAACAGTCGTAGTGTCAACACCGTCAGCCGTCAAGTAGTGTTTGTAAATGTTAAGGCAAGAAATCATGAATATGTACACAAACATACCCTCCAACACAAACACAGCAGTAGAATCTGGGCCATACAAACGTAGTTACAGTCTACCCAAAGATCCATCATTCTACCAGAACACATCAGGGACTTTCACATTGATCATCAAAGGAGAAATGACTGAATGTGGGATAAACAGGAAAAATATAAAATATTATAACAGAGAGTTTGTTTACACGTTGACCTACATGCAGGTAGGACAAGGTGGAAAAAAAACTCTTGGTAACACAATGTAAGGACATACACATAACAGATGGGGCCAAGGTAGGAAACCAAATAACCTGAAAACAAAGGCGAAATGTTTTATCACAGAAGTTTCAATATTTAGAGGTTCAATTGAAATTCTAAGAGGAAAAGACTATATATTTAGAAAAACAAATGTCTGAGTGGTCTGCGTCTTTGTGCTAAATGAGTACCTTAGTATAATATGTTTGAGGATGTTGAGGTGAAAAAGAGGCAGAGCCAAACAATTAAACATAGAATCCTATTCAAATGTCTTTTTGTTCCTGAAGCATCCTCATTTCTTTTTTAGCTTTGATAATATCTAAAAATAGTAGGCAAAATATTACTTTCTTTTTCAAAAAATACACATTTTTCACCCTCATAATATACAGCATGACATTATTCTCAAAATGATTAGATTTCTTTTTGTCTTATCAGTGGTTCTCATACGCTATCAAACGTATACATATTCCGTCCTCTCAAAAGGAACAGCAGGAAGCTCACCAGATCCATTTACCAGCATTCAGCGGATGTGAACTCTATGAAATGTGAGTGAAGAATCAATACGTCCACATCTTATGGTCTAATTTGAGATTCTGCCTGTTATAAAATGAGAAAGTGTCATAACCAAAAAAAACAAAGCTGAATGACCTGGACCACACGTGACGTCATTCGGTCAATCATCATCCACACGTCTCATTAGAAACACGAAGCATCGCAGCATGTTTCCTACTCTGTGAGTCATTGTCACGCATCAGACAGAAAAGCAGCTGAAATGTGCTGTGCGGCCAAAGTACAAAGACGCCTACCAGGAATCCATCTTCAGTGAATGTTACTGGAAAGAGAAAAAGTGTATGATAAACCAACACTTAGCCTGCAGTGTCTCAGAGCTGCTCATGTAAACCAGAGAACACCTGTTTCAGGAAGTGGAAGCTACATTGTTCTGCTCACACCGCTGCTACAACAGGAGAGCATTAAGGGATCCAGAGACAACTCCAAGAAAACACCCGACAGACTACATGCCCGGGAGGACGTTCTCACTAAGGTTCAGGGTGTATTGACCTATCTCTCATCGTTGCTGTGCTTTGCAAGAATGATCAACTTTGTTAGAAAACAAGTTCTAGCTTGGAACACATCCTGCTATTTGCACAAGCCCTCACAGTCATTGGGTTCCACATTAGCACAAGAAGAATAAAAGAAAATGTGCACTGTATCATTAGTGCATACCTACAGCTGTATGTATAGCAGTATAATAGTTCATGACAACAGCGATTGTGCTATGCCATCCTAATCAGTGAAGCCCCTCTCCTGTTTAGTTGCAACAGAAGACATAGAAGGAATGGAAACAGCAGCAGAGAGGGGAATGTGTGGATTTGCATCTCTGTGCCAAACCACCTTCAGAGGGAGGAATAATAACAGAGCCTTATCTCTCGAGCCATCGTCTGTATAAGTGACTGTCCAATGCTACAAGGTACAGTGTGAAACAGGGCATACAAACCAGACCTGAAGTGTAATTCATTTCTTTTTAGCGTCTGCTGGAATTTAAAAACATTTCATTTGCAGTGACTGATCTGGACGTCCTAATGAGTGTTTGTTTTTTCAAGAACTTGTGTCTGACAATAAACATAAACCTGCTATAGTTACATATTGTCATGAAATGAACCGAGCACTGATGGAGGATGGTTTCTTTGCACTGCTGCAGAACTATGATCCAGGTCGGATTATTCTTTTAGCTCATGCATGCGCGCATGTGTGCGTTAGTATTACAGTTGTTGCTAACTAGTGTTCATATTGGATTTCCATAGAAGCGTTTTGTGCCTTAAGCACCCCGGTCATCTGCCCAATGGTCCACTGTCACAGAACACATGATGCACAGCGACTGAAATGCAAACAGAAGCATATCTTCACACAATGTCTTCGTGCTGAGTACTATAAGAGTATCCTTTACCGTTTATAAATAAAGCACTCGTGAGGTGATTCAGGAGCGCTCTGTCAGAGGCCTTAACTAGGAAATCAATTATGAATTGATTGAATAGAATAACGCGATGAGAGCTCTAATCAGCAGCAGCCTGGAACAGCAGCCGCTCTGCGTTTGTTGAAGGAGAGCAATGACTGTCAGAAAGAGAATGTGAACCACAGAATAAAACAACTCCAAACAAACGTGGACTGACAACAAATTCGAGCATTTTCACTTTCTACCAGAATAAACCTCTTTCAGGTGAAATAGTTATTAAAGTTAAAAAAACAGGTAATGGAGAAGCCTATTCTTCTAAAAATAAAAAATGGAGAAATGCTAAAACAGGGCTGGGATTTGTATAAGCTTTGTCAGAATTGTAGTTCCATTCAGTGTTAAGGGGGTGTATTATTGTCCTGGTGATAAAGGGACATCTTCATCACCGAGGTGGATGGACAACAAATCCCATCTGGTCTGGTCTAAAGAAATACAAAATAAAGTCTAGTGTCTGCGTGCTGGAATCAACCGGGAGTGCAGCTTCTATCTCTCGTCAACAGTGCTTCAAAAATCATCACATCTTTCTCTAAAATAACCCATGAAACAAATCAGAATAATAATTATAATAATAAAACAATCACAAAAAAGAGATAGCAAAACATCAAAATTGATATACCTCTCTATGTTCATTGTACTTACACAGGAAAATAAGGAGGAAATAAGAGTAAAACCAAATGTTTAAAAAACCACAACTCCAGTGTTTACCTTTTGACTTAGTGTATGTTTGCTTGTTTACAACAGAAAGCTAGTATTTATATGGCTACAAAATAAAGTCTGTCCGACTCATGTCTGAGTCAGCAGAAGTCCTCCCTCAGTAGTAAGTTCTGGGTGTGATGAGGATAGTGTCTGGGTCTGGGATCTGTCCGCGGGAGAAGCCCTTCAGCGAGAGAATTCATCTTCAGACCGTCGAATGGTGAGATTAAAATGTTGCCCAGCCAATGCCTAAAATCAGCCTGGGGCTCACGGCTCCTTCAAAGCATCCGATTGGTGTGCAAAACCCCCCTTCACACTTCAAATCCAGGTAAGGTCCAAATGGAAAATAAAAAAAACAGACACAATATTTCCAGGTCTTCCATTAAAACAAACATGTTTAAATGAAATGTGATAAAATCACACACACACACACACACACACACACACACACACACACACACACACACACAACACACACACCACACACACACACACACACACACACATCACACACACACACACACACACACACACACAACACACACACACACACACACACACACACAACACACACACACACACACACACACACACACACACACAACACACACACACATCACACACACACCACACACACACCACACACACACTCACACACACACACACACACACACACACACACACACACACACACACACACACACACAACACACACACACACACACACCACACACACACACACACACACACACACACTTATTGCCTCTTTGTGAAAGAGTACACCTCTACAGTTCAGTGATTCACATAAGGAAAAAAGAATACTCCTGCACACCCAGTTTACTCTCTGCAGCTCTCAGCCGTGACCTCTGACCTCTGTGCCCCCCCCCCCCCCCTTTGTGCAGGAGTATTGTGTTCCATCTGAACCTGCACACACTACCCTCCAGAGTGTGGAGCTCTTGGTGTCACAGGTCTCATCTCATCCTGTTCTGCCTCATCAGAGGGACGATGCAGGAGGGGGGGCCCCGCCTTGGTCAGGAAGGGGTGTTTGAGAAGCTCGCTGGCCGAGGACCTCTGAGCTGGGTCCCGCACTAACGTCTTGTCCAGGAAGCCCTTTAGCAGAGGGGAGACCTGGCAGGGGGAGAAAATATTCAGAGTTAGTGAAGATGAGGAACACGTTCAGCCACAGACTCATCCCTCCATGCAGAACTAGTGAAGAAGAGGAGTTCAGCCACAGACTCATCCCTCCATGCAGAGCTAGTGAAGAAGAGGAGTTCAGCCACAGACTCATCCCTCCATGCAGAGCTAGTGAAGAAGAGGAGTTCAGCCACAGACTCATCCCTCCTCGGCACAGCACCAAGCGCCTCGGACAGTCCTTTGTGCCTGTAGCCACCAGGCTGCACAACCAAGGGCTAACCATGTAACTCATTAAAAGTAGCCCGTACTGGACATACATCAAATCTGCAGTTTGTACAAATGACTTTGACCTGCACTCGCATCTGCACACTTACATTTAAATATATTTTAAAAATATGTTCATTCAACTGATCAACGTTTTACCTTGTTGTGACATCTTGTTTTAACAGTTACCATATACTTTTTTTTTTTTTGTATATATCTTTTGACACGCTCTTGCTGCTTTAACTCCTGAATTTCTAAATGGACTTAGTGAAGCTGCATCTTTGGATATGCTTTTATGTATTCCTCCCAAGTAGATCATAAACATATCAACCCACACACTGCAGCCAAACCAACTTCATTTTGAGTGGCTTTATGGTTTAGGAGCAAACTTGCACAAGTAACCAGTGTTACTGGTGTCTGCTTTATCAAAGCTTTATTTAGTTGTCTTAGTGCTTATGTTGATAAAACGCTATCAGTAGTCCAGCTGGGACCTTTGCCATTTCTTTGTTGCTATAAAGAAGCCCTTTAAATAAAAGGTGTTGACACGTTTAAGCCACTACAAAAGGCATAGAACAAAAAGGTCTTAGATTACTCAGCCCATTACCTAAACACAGGCGATAATCCAACCTTGAAAAGTGTCTTTTATTTGTATAACATTTGTGTTATGTTATTATGTGATGATGATGCTTCACATGAAGTGCTCTGCAGCATTTTGTCTTGGTACCTTGTGCAGATTCTTCAGTTTGGGAGGCAGGTTGTCTCGGATCATTTTCATGGCTTTGAGTGGCGGCTCATTGAAGTACGGCGGCTCCCCGTCCACCATCTCTATCACCATGATACCCAGAGACCAGATATCCACCTGGATACAGAGAGAGAGTCACCACGAGAAGAGATGTATTTATGGTGATGTTTCAACATGAACAGAGTGCGAGTGTTACCTCTGGTCCATACGGCAGTCTGGATATGAGTTCTGGTGCCATCCAGTACGGCGTTCCAACCAGAGACTTCCTTCTCTGCACCTCTTTTGACACCTGGGCACAGAAGCCAAAGTCTGACAGCTTCACCTGGAGGCAGAACAAGCCACACAAAGGAATGGTTCAAAAAAGAAAAGAAACGGTATGACTGATGAAAATGGAGATTATTTTTCCTAGAAAGTAAATAACTTAATGACAAATGGTTTTTAGAATCAGAGCATACCTACCCTTAAAAACAGAAGAAAATAGAATAAACTTTGGGTACAACAACAACAGAGAAAAACCTCTCTCACGAGGGACAGACATGCAATATATGTCGTTTGATTAGAATAGACCAACGTAGGATAATTATAGTATAAAAAGGATAACAAAAATATAGATAGACTGAAAACGACATGAAGCATGGGATGGTAAATGGTCCAAAAGCTTTTCTTAGCAGGGTAAGTTTGACTTTAGATTACATAACGATGAAGAAAAGTAATATAAGACATAAAAAGGTGTGTTCCTGCAACATGGAAATAAATATGATCTGAGGCACAGCTTATGCTTCAATAGTCAAGGCGTTCACTCAATGGCATTCCTCTTTGCTACCATCTGCACATCTTTCTAAGAAAGTCTGTGCATGGCAAGTGACAAAGAGAAAAGCTTTGATAAGGCCCACAGGGCTCACTGTTGGCTTCAGATAGCTCAGAAAGAGAAATGAAACAAACCCACTATGAGAACTGGTGCAACACATAAACAACTAACACAGCCAAGACACTGTTACAGAATGTCTGCCACTGATGGGAAACATAAGAAGCATCAGATACACCGCATCAGATACACAGCTGCATCAGATACACTGCTGCATCAGATACACAGCTGCATCAGATACACAGCTGCATCAGATACACCGCATCAGATACACCGCTGCATCAGATACACTGCTGCATCAGATACACAGCTGCATCAGATACACAGCTGCATCAGATACACCGCTGCATCAGATACACCGCTGCATCAGATACACCGCTGCATCAGATACACCGCTGCATCAGATACGCTGCATCAGATACACCGCTGCATCAGATACGCTGCATCAGATACGCTGCATCAGATACACCGCTGCATCAGATACACAGCTGCATCAGATACACAGCTGCATCAGATACACAGCTGCATCAGATACACAGCTGCACCAGATACACAGCTGCATCAGATACGCTGCATCAGATACACAGCTGCATCAGATACACTGCATCAGATACACCGCTGCATCAGATACACCGCTGCATCAGATACGCTGCATCAGATATGCTACATCAGATACACCGCTGCATCAGATACGCTGCATCAGATACGCTGCATCAGATACGCTGCATCAGATACACAGCTGCATCAGATACACAGCATCAGATACACTGCTGCATCAGATACGCTGCATCAGATACGCTGCATCAGATACGCTGCATCAGATACACCGCTGCATCAGATACGCTGCATCAGATACACCGCTGCATCAGATACGCTGCATCAGATACGCTGCATCAGATACACCGCTGCATCAGATACACCGCATCAGATACACCGCATCAGATACACCGCATCAGATACACCGCATCAGATACACTACACCGCATCAGATACACCGCATCAGATACACCGCTGCATCAGATACACTGCATCAGATACACAGCTGCATCAGATACACCGCTGCATCAGATACACAGCTGCATCAGACACACTGCATCAGATACACCGCATCAGATACACAGCTGCATCAGATACACCGCTGCATCAGATACACTACACCGCATCAGATACACCGCATCAGATACACCGCATCAGATGATACGCTGCATCAGATACACCGCTGCATCAGATACACCGCTGCATCAGATACACCGCTGCATCAGATACACCGCATCAGATACACCGCATCAGATACACCGCATCAGATACACCGCTGCATCAGATACACCGCTGCATCAGATACACCGCATCAGATACGCCGCATCATCAGATACGCCGCATCATCAGATACGCCGCATCAGATACACCGCTGCATCAGATACACCGCTGCATCAGATACACCGCATCAGATACACCGCATCAGAGACGCCGCATCAGATACACAACACCGCATCAGATACACTGCATCAGATACACCGCATCAGATACACCGCTGCATCAGATACACTGCATCAGATACACTGCATCAGATACACTGCATCAGATACACTGCATCAGATACACCGCTGCATCAGATACACCGCTGCATCAGATACGCCGCATCAGATACGCCGCATCAGATACGCCGCATCAGATACGCCGCATCAGATACACTACACCGCATCAGATACACCGCATCAGATACACCGCTGCATCAGATACACCGCTGCATCAGATACACCGCTGCATCAGATACACCGCTGCATCAGATACACCGCTGCATCAGATACGCTGCATCAGATACGCTGCATCAGATACGCTGCATCAGATACGCTGCATCAGATACACCGCTGCATCAGATGATACACTGCATCAGATACACAGCTGCATCAGATACACAGCTGCATCAGATACACCGCTGCATCAGATACACCGCTGCATCAGATACACCGCTGCATCAGATACACTACACCGCATCAGATACACTGCATCAGATACACCGCATCAGATACACCGCATCAGATACACCGCATCAGATACACCGCTGCATCAGATACGCTGCATCAGATACGCTGCATCAGATACGCCGCATCAGATACACCGCTGCATCAGATACACCGCTGCATCAGATACACCGCTGCATCAGATACACCGCTGCATCAGATACACTACACCGCATCAGATACACTGCATCAGATACACCGCATCAGATACACCGCATCAGATACACCGCATCAGATACACCGCATCAGATACACCGCATCAGATACACTACACCGCATCAGATACACCGCATCAGATACACCGCTGCATCAGATACACCGCTGCATCAGATACACCGCTGCATCAGATACACCGCTGCATCAGATACACCGCTGCATCAGATACGCCGCATCAGATACGCCGCATCAGATACGCCGCATCAGATACACTAAGCCGCATCAGATACACTACACCGCATCAGATAAACTACACCGCATCAGATACACTACACCGCATCAGATACACCGCTGCATCAGATACACCGCTGCATCAGATACACCGCTGCATCAGATACACTGCATCAGATACACAGCTGCATCAGATACACAGCTGCATCAGATACACAGCTGCATCAGATACACTGCATCAGATACACCGCATCAGATACACAGCTGCATCAGATACACCGCTGCATCAGATACACTACACCGCATCAGATACACCGCATCAGATACACCGCATCAGATACGCCGCATCAGATACGCTGCATCAGATACGCTGCATCAGATACACTGCTGCATCAGATACACTGCTGCATCAGATACACCGCTGCATCAGATACGCTGCATCAGATACACTGCTGCATCAGATACACCGCTGCATCAGATACACCGCTGCATCAGATACACCGCTGCATCAGATACACCGCTGCATCAGATACACCGCTGCATCAGATACACCGCTGCATCAGATACACCGCTGCATCAGATACACCGCTACATCAGATACACCGCTACATCAGATACACTACACCGCATCAGATACACTACACTGCATCAGATACACCGCATCAGATACACCGCATCAGATACGCTGCATCAGATACACCGCTGCATCAGATACACCGCATCAGATACACCGCTGCATCAGATACACCGCTGCATCAGATACACCGCTGCATCAGATACACCGCTGCATCAGATACGCCGCATCAGATACGCCGCATCAGATACACTACACCGCATCAGATACACTACACCGCATCAGATACACTACACCGCATCAGATACACCGCTGCATCAGATACACCGCTGCATCAGATACACCGCTGCATCAGATACACCGCTGCATCAGATACACCGCATCATCAGATACACCGCATCAGATACACCGCATCAGATACACCGCTGCATCAGATACGCTGCATCAGATACGCTGCATCAGATACGCCGCATCAGATACACCACTGCATCAGATACACCACTGCATCAGATACACTACACCGCATCAGATACACTACACCGCATCAGATACACTGCATCAGATACACCGCATCAGATACACCGCTGCATCAGATACGCCGCATCAGATACGCCGCATTACGCCGCATCAGATACACTACACCGCATCAGATACACTACACCGCATCAGATACACTACACCGCATCAGATACACTACACCGCATCAGATACACCGCTGCATCAGATACACCGCTGCATCAGATACACCGCTGCATCAGATACACCGCATCAGATACACCGCCGCATCAGATACACCGCCGCATCAGATACACCGCATCAGATACACCGCATCAGATACACCGCATCAGATACACCGCATCAGATACACCGCATCAGATACACAGCTGCATCAGATACACCGCTGCATCAGATACACCGCTGCATCAGATACACCGCTGCATCAGATACACCGCTGCATCAGATACACCGCTGCATCAGATACACCGCTGCATCAGATACACTACACCGCATCAGATACACTACACCGCATCAGATACACTGCATCAGATACACCGCATCAGATACACCGCATCAGATACACCGCATCAGATACACCGCATCAGATACACCGCTGCATCAGATACACCGCTGCATCAGATACACCGCATCAGATACACCGCTGCATCAGATACACCGCTGCATCAGATACACCGCTGCATCAGATACGCCGCATCAGATACGCCGCATCAGATACGCCGCATTACGCCGCATCAGATACACTACACCGCATCAGATACACTACACCGCATCAGATACACTACACCGCATCAGATACACCACACCGCATCAGATACACCGCTGCATCAGATACACCGCTGCATCAGATACACCGCTGCATCAGATACACCGCTGCATCAGATACACCGCTGCATCAGATACACCGCTTGCATCAGATACACCGCTGCATCAGATACACCGCTGCATCAGATACACCG